AGTAAGGGTTACAGGTAAATGAGCGAGCAGATTGTATTCATATTGACAATAAATGTAATCTGACAAATAATCAATATATTTACAGCACATTCAGGTAAATTAATTTACCATAAAATAATTTCATGCATATTTAATCAATTTATACATGTTTATATTGAAGGTCTATTGACCGGAAGAGTCAGCTAAAACTGAAAATCGTCTGATTGATGCAAACCCATTGTATATGTTATCCAAGTTGACATACAAAGCATCATCATAACCTCAACCAACAATGTGTCAAAATGATGTCATATTATTGTAATGTGTGATCAAGAATGTAAGTGTTGTGGATACAACCCAGAATAAGAGATTAAACGGGATAAAAACAGACGAAAGTAAACTAATGATATTGTCTCAATAATATTACATAATCGTTCTACAATATTTATATACCATATAGAGATATTACGTGGCAGAGAAGTTAAGTTTCTTGCATGATCAAGTCTGGAGTGAGGGAGAGGGCAGATAAGAAGTACTTATATGTCTTTAGCATGGAATGAGATTCAGCACATTTGATGAAAATCAAATAAAATATGGACGAGCCTGAGATATCATATTTCACCAAAGCCTTCTTAATTATAGTATTTTTTATGATTAATAAAAAAAAACAGAAAAAAATCAGCTTCCAATCTTAACTCGACCATTACTTTGGGACGCTATGGATGTATTAATTTTGGCAGATTGTTTTCTTCAATATTTGTTAGAATATGAAGTCTTTTTTTCATAAATCTAAAATATTTGATACCTGTAGACTAATCACTGTTTTTTGTTGTTCAGGCTATATATTTATACAGAATCAATCAGTCAGGGTACACAATCGTTTCTTTCTCTTGGCCGTTTCATTTATCTCATTTGACATGAAAATTACTGGTTTATGTAAACATCCAGAAATACATGTACCTTTTTTGTGAAACATGTATGATTCTTTTCCTGCTCTGATGACCACAATGTTAAATGTGAAGTCTGACAAAACATCAATCTGTACCAAGTCAGGGTCAGAAATTATAATCAATCACTTTTTCATAGTTGAGATCCATAACATTGACATCAGACTTAAATTCACTTTGAAACACAATGGGCTGCAATCAGTGTCCTATCACAATATCATTACTGTATATGGATTTCTATCAAATTATCACAAGTCTACATCAATCAACATAATGCTAGAATTTGGTCAGGACTAGACTATAAATGGATTTCCACATCTTATTATAATATCATACAGCAGTAGAATTAGAAGGTCATGGACAGACTAAAACAACATAGAGTGGCAGAAATGATAGATGATGGACAAATTATCATATCATACAGCAGCAAAACTGAAAGGTCATGAACAGGCTAACAGTATACAATAACAGAACTACAGCATCATGGATGGACTAACTTGGCATACAGTAGCAGAACTAAAAGGTCACATACAGACTTTATTAAGTATAGATGTTAAACAGTTGCTATATATTTCTAAATTGTCAAAGCTGTAAATTCCCCTGCTTATCATCCAAATAACCTAAACTAAAAAGCAAAATCTAAAGCAGTGACAGAATACCAGCATACCGAAGCAGAATGTGAGGTCAAGGACAAACTGTCATAGCATACAGAAGCAGAATGTGAGGTCAAGGACAAACTGTCATAGCATACAGAAGCAGAATGTGAGGTCAAGGACAAACTGTCATAGCATACAGAAGCAGAATGTGAGGTCAAGGACAAACTGTCATAGCATACAGAAGCAGAATGTGAGGTCAAGGACAAACTGTCATAGCATACAGAAGCAGAATGTGAGGTCAAGGACAAACTGTCATAGCATACAGAAGCAGAATGTGAGGTCAAGGACAAACCGTCATAGCATACAGAAGCAGAATGTGAGGTCAAGGACAAACCGTCATAGCATACAGAAGCAGAATGTGAGGTCAAGGACAAACTGTCATAGCATACAGAAGCAGAATGTGAGGTCAAGGACAAACTGTCATAGCATACAGAAGCAGAATGTGAGGTCAAGGACAAACCGTCATAGCATACAGAAGCAGAATGTGAGGTCAAGGACAAACCGTCATAGCATACAGAAGCAGAATGTGAGGTCAAGGACAAACTGTCATAGCATACAGAAGCAGAATGTGAGGTCAAGGACAAACTGTCATAGCATACAGAAGCAGTACTGTGAGGTCAAGGACAAACCGTCATAGAATAAAGAAGCAGAATGTGAGGTCAAGGACAAACCGTCATAGCATACAGAAGCAGAATGTGAGGTCAAGGACAAACCGTCATAGCATACAGAAACAGAATGTGAGGTCAAGGACAAATTGTCATAGCATACAGAAGCAGAACTGTGAGGTCAAGGACTATCATAGCAGAGAGAATCAAGGTCACACAAAGATTATCATCAATGTAGATGTGTACAATGTCCAACTGTCTCAGTATAGATCTGCATAATGTCAAACTGTCTCTGTATAGATCTGTATAATGTCCAACTGTCTCTGTATAGATCTATATAATGTCAAACTGTCTTAGTATACATCTGCATAATGTCCAACTGTCTCAGTATAGATCAGTATAATGTCAAACTGTCTCAGTATACTGTATAATGCTTAATTGTCTCAATATAGATCTGTATAATGCTTAATTGTCTCAATATAGGTCTGTATAATGCTTAATTGTCTCAATATAGGTCTGTATAATGCTTAATTGTCTCAATATAGATCTCTATAATGCTTGTCTCAATATAGATCTGTATAATGCTTAATTGTCTCAATATAGATCTGTATAATGCTTAATTGTCTCAATAAAGATCTGTATAATGCTTAATTGTCTCAATATAGATCTGTATAATGCTTGTCTCAATATAGATCTGTATAATGCTTAATTGTCTCAATATAGATCTGTATAATGCTTAATTGTCTCAGTATAGATTTGTATAATGCTTGTCTCAATATAGATATGTATAATGCTTAATTGTTCAATATAGGTCTGTAGAATGCTTAATTGTCTCAATATAGATCTGTATAATGCTTGTCTCAATATAGATCTGTATAATGCTTAATTGTCTCAATATAGATCTGTATAATGCTTAATTTTCTCAATAAAGATCTGTATAATGCTTAATTGTCTCAATATAGATATGTATAATGCTTAATTGTCTCAATATAGATCTGTATAATGCTTAATTTTCTCAATATAGATCTGTATAATGCTTAATTGTCTCAATATAGGTCTGTATAATGCTTAATTGTCTCAATATAGGTCTGTATAATGCTTAATTGTCTCAATATAGATCTGTATAATGCTTGTCTCAATATAGATCTGTATAATGCTTAATTGTCTCAATATAGATCTGTATAATGCTTAATTTTCTCAATAAAGATCTGTATAATGCTTAATTGTCTCAATATAGATCTGTATAATGCTTAATTGTCTCAATATAGATCTGTATAATGCTTGTCTCAATATAGATCTGTATAATGCTTAATTGTCTCAATATAGATCTGTATAATGCTTAATTGTCTCAGTATAGATTTGTATAATGCTTGTCTCAATATAGATCTGTATAATGCTTAATTGTCTCAATATAGGTCTGTATAATGCTTAATTGTCTCAATATAGGTCTGTATAATGCTTGTCTCAATATAGATCTGTATAATGCTTAATTGTCTCACTATAGATCTGTATAATGCTTGTCTCAATAAAGATCTGTATAATGCTTAATTGTCTCAATATAGATCTGTATAATGCTTAATTGTCTCAGTATAGATCTGTATAATGCTTGTCTCAATATAGATCTGTATAATGCTTAATTGTCTCAATATAGGTCTGTATAATGCTTAATTGTCTCAATATAGATCTGTATAATGGTTAATTTCCTTGCAATATATCTGCACAATGCTTCATAGCCTTAATATAGATCTGCATGCTGTCCGACTCTCATTATTGATCAGTATAATGTCTGTCTCTATACAGATCTATATTATGCCAAACTGTTTAAATATAGATCTGTATACTGTCTAAGTGTCCAAATATAGATCTGTATACTGTCTAAGTGTCCAAATATAGATCTGTATACTGTCTAAGTGTCCAAATGTAGATCTGTATACTGTCTAAGTGTCCAAATATAGATCTGTATACTGTCTAAGTGTCCAAATATAGATCTGTATACTGTCTAAGTGTCCAAATGTAGATCTGTATACTGTCTAAGTGTCCAAATATAGATCTGTATACTGTCTAAGTGTCCAAATATAGATCTGTATACTGTCTCAGTGTCCAAATATAGATCTGTCTGTCTAAGTGTCCAAATATAGATCTGTATACTGTCTAAGTGTCCAAATATAGATATGTATACTGTCTAAGTGTCCAAATATAGATCTGTATACTGTCAAAGTGTCCAAATGTAGATCTGTATACTGTCCAAGTGTCCAAATGTAGATCTGTATACTGTCTAAGTGTCCAAATATAGATATGTATACTGTCCAAGTGTCCAAATATAGATCTGTATACTGTCTAAGTGTCCAAATGTAGATCTGTATACTGTCTAAGTGTCCAAATGTAGATCTGTATAATGTTTAGCTCTCAAAATAGATCTGTATGATTTAAAGATTTTTCATAGAAAGCCTGATGCAGGATTTAACCCTTTTCTCCCATAATTAAAACTATATACACAAGTATGAAATCAGGAATGTCTCAATGAAATTTCTAGATTTGTGCTGTGGTCAAATTCAATCTGACATATCCCTACAACACATACCAAATAAAACTGTGTACACCAATACTCTAATCTAGATAAGGTTAGACAGGTATCAAAGCACCCAGACTTATTAATGTCATTTACAGAAACACAACCTGGATTTGATATGGAGGATGGACTGTCGGATCTCTGCCATGTTGTCTGCTTTATCTTTCCTGTAAGCTTCTGCTGAAGATTTCACTACCTACAAACATAGTACTTGTGTGTTTAGATGACTGGTTTGTACCAGAGGTTAGCGAATCCCAGCACGCATCTGACTAAAGCTACTTGTGTCCTTCGTAGGCTTTGTATTGGCTGCAGTAGCTTTAGCTTCAAAGCACTTCCAGAGTCTGATTGTTTCATCTGCAGCAGCGCTAGCTACAGTACTGCCATCTGGAGACATGGTCAGACACAACACTCTTGCTGTATGTCCTGTGACAAAAAGTAAACATCTCTTATGTCAAAGTTAAGTATAAGAGGTCAAAGGCCATGGTACACTTACATATTTATATATGTAGATATGTCTCTGTTTGCAGTCCTTGGAATAACATAACAATGAATTCTAACTCTTTCTCTCTACAACTTTGCTTCCACTCGTCATATCAGTTACCACAACATCAGTGACCTTGACCTTAACTCATATGACCACTTGATTAATTCTGACCATTATTTCAATGCTTAATCATCAAAACATGTAGGCCGCCTAGCTGTGACACATCAAATTATTGACCTTCAGGTCAAATGTCTTACATACAAATTTTCTAAGGGATATTTTTCTTTAAGATGAATATGCTAGCAATCTCCAAAATGCATATCAAAGTTTTCAAGAATAATGACAAGCTATTGCTCATAACAGGTTAAAGATGGACAACACTACTTCATAAGAATAAGAACATGATTTTTTTTTACACTAATTTAGAATTCTGAATATAATAACTATTATGTCACCTGAATCAGTGGAAATTTCTACATAAAGGATAAATTTTGTACCTGTCAATTCAGCCACTCTGTTCATCGTGGGGTATTTCCAGATGGTCAACTGGTTCTGCGAGTAGCCGTGGCCAGAGATCAGCTCTTTGTGTTCTTTAGACCACAAGATGGAACAAACCTGTAACAGATCGAGTGCTTATTTACCTTTCTGATAAATTTCAAATATTCTTTTATTCCAATGACAAAATTAAAAGAAACAGAAGTATTGATGATCTTAGTAGTTTTGGTTTGATGGATATTCTGTTCCAAACTAGGAAACCATATTCACATACATTGGACTCTGAACCCATCAGATAGATAACATGAAAATCTATGAGACTGTTAAACATGTAAATTTATCATTTTTGTTAAGTGTAAAGAGTGAAATCTAAATCTGGGTATAACAATTCCAGAATTTAGCATGAGCCTGTGCTATTACACTGCATATTGAGTAGTTATTTTGATGTAATAACAAACATCATTTTGATAATAGCTATGATACAGGTTTCTCATAATGTCCAGAAACTTTCAGCAAACGTTTCTTCTCATATCCATAAATTGCCTGCCAGGGGCCCCATTTAAACAATGTTGAATTTGGCATTGGCGCTGCACCTGATGATTGTTAACCTGAGATTGAATATCAAGTCTATAACACATAGAAATGATGACTTTTTTTTTATGTAAGTTGTAAAAATAACACAGATTAGCCATCAATAACATGATATGTGTGACAAAGCTGATCACACAATCTGTCTGAGATATATTTACCTGGTGTTTGGCATTGATATGTGTGACAAAGCTGATCACACAATCTTTCTGAGATATATTAACCTGGTGGATGGCATTAATTACAAAGTGTTATATTGTGAATTATTCAGTAACAGTCTTCAGAAGAAAGCAATATTAAGGGAAATCAATGTTTTCTACATCAGTTTTGGAAAACCTGTTTTTAGAGGTCAATGATCTACTGTTAAGTAAGGGGTACCTGAGAGTTTGTGTCCACAGAGTTGTAACAGGATCCAGTGGAAACATTCCAGAAGCGAATATGTCGGTCAGCTGTTCCCCCACCACTGGCTAACAGGTCAGCTTGCCATGGACACCAACTCAATGCCTAGCAACCAGAACATAATGTATCAAGTAAATGTTTAACAAAACAGAGTACAGTAATTACTGGAGTAATAAAGAAGAAACACTTGATAACTGATGGTTTGCTTAACTAATTAAACAAAGATTAAGGAGCCATGTTAATTTTGGTTTCAGAGTAACATAGTACATATATAATATCATTTTCTTTAAATTCATTTAAGAAACAAAAAAGAATTGACTTCAAAAAAGAATTTATGTCATTTGGTAATCAAGACTTCCGGAAAAATTTCATAATAAAAACGGTCTCTGCTTTGAATATTCGTCTAAATTGGTCTGCGATCTTTGACCTTTGACTGATGACCACCTGATGGTATGATACTATAGTATTTTGTAAGTATGAGTGATTGCTATATACCTCTGCCTTTTAACCCTGCCCAATAAAATACCACATTTCCAAGTTCATTTTAAGCACCATGAAAATTATTGACATGCATTTTAAATCAGAAAAAGAAAATTTTTTAAATTCTTTCATTTTCAATGCTTTTTCAAACATTCCATTTATACATAAAAATCACCCTGCTTCTCCTTTATATAGACGTTGTTTCAATATGACTTAAAACCTAAATCTGAAGTGAATAGGACAAGCTATAAAGAATTTGTAGCCAATTCAAAACAAAAAAAAAATTATACAAAAAGATCAGTTACATGTAATCTATTTCATGGGTTCATATGTCCATACAACAATGTAGCTATATTCCAGATTTGATAAGAATAGGGCTTGTGCTTTATGAGAAACTAAGAGAAATCTCATTTCAGCATCAAGTCCAGTTTTCAGCATTATTAATTTTTAGAGTTGTTGGACTGTAAAATCTGGAAGATATTTTGTAAACGATGGGTGTGTTGAAGTGTTAACTATGTGATTTATCTAGACTAGTACTGGTACTTGTATTTTTTATTAATGTATCTAAACACAAAGCGCTAGATTGAAATATTGACAATAACAGCGTTGTCATCACTGTTGGAAAAGAAACACCAGGGCCTTGCTTTTAAGCTTTTTCTTTGTAGGCCATCCCTACCTTGACTGCCGCCTGATGGTGTGTGAAGGTATGCACTGGTACAGTCTCATGGCTCATGTTGTTATCCCAGATGTTCAGCAGGTTGTCATTACCTCCACTAGCAAGAAAACGTCCATCAGGTGACCAGCTGAGTCCACATACCTCTTGAGTGTGATTGGATAGTGTGCCCACATGATGGTTGGCAACTCGGACATCATGATGACGGACCATACCAGAGCGAGCTCCACTGTAGAAGAAACAGATTGTTCTCACTAATGTTAAAACCCTTATTTACCTCATGACAAGAACTAGGAACTTTTGGTCAAATCTATAATGCATTTAAATGCCATTTCTGTAAAACCATCATGATTCATTTTTTCTTTCTTTTTGTTTTTTTACCGAAACTTACCTACTGAGGACAAATGTGTTCCATGCTAGGGACCCAACACGTGATGAATGTCCAGTCATTGTTCTCACTAACTTCTGTTTTTCAGCATCCCATAACTAATGGAAAACATAACCAATTATAACAAGAAGTCCATAGTTGCTATCTCCAGTTTGGTATAACAAAATAAAAAAAAAACAAACAAACAAACAAACAAAAGAAAGGGCCATAACTCTTGTATACTGTACCAATTTGACTCAATTTCTGTTTTTTGCAATCATAAAAGGTACAAATGTGTTGACATAACAAATTTATCCAGTTTCTTTTTATTTTTCTACGAATGGGCCTTTTTTTATCATTTTGGGGAAAAAGAGATCAATTGGGAATGAAATTATAAATTTGGGAAATTTGGAAATCTTATGAAATAAATCCACTTTGGAAAGTGACCCATATTTGGTCACACAGAAGCCCTGGAAAAAGGCCTGATAACTGAAAGACTATCCAAGTAAGGTTTGTAACAAACTGTTATACCTTGAAAAAAAAGGGTCATAATTTTGCATACGATGAGATATGAGTGCGACATATCCCTATCAGACAATAACTTTGCAGTCAGGATGCAAACTTTAGTTTCCTATGGCTAATCTATTAAGGGGTTTATGAGGCATCCTGTACACAAGCTTTTTATATTTAAAGTAGTCAGCAGTGATCTTTGATCATAACTCTGGCCGATGGCAACCAAAATATGATAAAGTGTAAACCTTGATAGGGTGATTTAATGATTTTAATATGAAGTAAATCTGTCAATGTGTTAATAAGTTATCCTGTTAGTTGTACACAAATTTATCAGGGATGAAGAAATGGATACACAAACTGATCCCACTACCACCATCAGGTAAGAGGGTTTAAAAATTACTGCACTCATAATACTCTTTGAGAGCACCACTCAAGTCATGTTAAAACTCCTACATCCATATCTGAAGAGAAGTCTTTACAACATCAGCAAACATTGGCTCTAGAGGGGCCTCAGCATCTATACATTATTATATCTCTCTTTTCACACGTCTCTTCTTGCCAAACTGAATGGGGAAAACACCTGTATTCAGAATACTGCAGTATACTCTTGAATTAATCTCTATTTTTCCTTTTGAAAAAGGAGAGTCACACTATTTCCTATATAAAACACCAAATTCCAACAATCTTGTTGCTTTATCTTACTTAATGCCTTTTTTTCAAATATAAATTGTTAAATAAAATATCATAGATTGTATACACTACAAAAAGTTCCTACACAACCCAAACACTTGCATCTGTCTCTCACCACAAACAGCATTTTCTGTTTCATTGCAGATCATGCCTGACAGTGCATTATGAAAAAGACCCAATACTGTGACCTTGAGGTGTGGACGAAGGATGGAGGTGACATTGAAAAGTTGTTACCTGACCCAATACTTTGACCTTGAGGTGTAGACTGAGGATAAAGGAGACATAGGAAGGCTGTTACCTGACCCAGTACTTTGACCTTGAGGTGTAGACTGAGGATAAGGGAGAAATAGGAAGGCTGTTACCTGACCCAGTACTTTGACCTTGAGGTGTAGACTGAGGATAAACGAGAAATGGGAAGGCTGTTACCTGACCCAGTACTTTGATCTTGAGGTGTGGAATGGAGATAAAGGAGACATGGGAAGGTTGTTGTGAAGATTACCTGTGTGTTTCCCATGTTGGTGCCTACAGCTAGAATATTTCCCTCCTTTATCCATGATACGCAAGACACATAATCATCCGTACTGGTCATCTCCATCAGTTGGACGATGGAACCATCTGCTGCATTCCACATATACACAGCTCCACCCAGTGCTACAGCTAAATGGTTACTGGACCAGTCCAACAAGTTTAGATCTGTACAAACAATAAAAGATGTATCTGAACTCATCACTTTATCACTTGATTCCATTTCAGAAGCATAGTTTCCAATTTTGAATGTAAACAACAACTCCTGATTTTAGAATGATAATATTCGGCCAATTCAGTACTGTCCTATTTCCAATTTTCTTTCATTCCATAATACATCATCATAAAACTGTAAATTTTAAATCATATTCTCAAGAAAGGATTAAAATATATACACAAAGACCTAATTTTTGTAAAAAAGAAGTCATAAGTTTAAGTCAGGATTTATCATTTGATGGTTATAATAATCTCCTTTAGATCTGACATACAGGTTTTCACTGAACTTCTCATAAACTTTTAACTAATTCCTGCCATGAGTAAAATCAACTGATGCAAATCAATATTAGTGGTGAATGATCCACTGGGTGACAATACTGTGATATTTGATTTGTATAAATTGTATTGTATTTTACAGCAAGTAAGCCCATCCTCACAGTGAAAAACATTGACCAAAAGTAGGGAAAGGGTTTATATGTGAGCATCCCCGCTGTACGTTAGTGTCTGGCATCCTACATAATTGCCATAACTTACTTTGATCACTGATACCCACTATTAACAAAGATTTTGACAATAATGCATATTTATTTGATGATGTTTATATAAGTGTTGACCAATACAATAACAAGAATATAGAAATAATGTTCGTTTATGAAACAAGCTGCTACATGACGCCCCAACCTATGATTATTATTTCCAAAAAAAACCTGAAACATATATTTGTTTTACGCAGTATAAGAGAGATATGTTCTAAAATGTCCCTACAGTAATCGTCCAGTAGCTCTGGGGCGTCCAGGATCCGGTCCGGCTGCTGCGGAATGAAGCGAGTTGTGGAACACTTCGGGACAGCCGACTTACTAGAGCTGTATAAGACCTTGAGGTTGTTGAGGTGACCTAGCAACAGACACGGCATTGCTTTGTATCTGGTTGGAAACTGCATTAAATGCTATAAACTTTTTAAAATATTGATTGAAATGAAATCAAATACAAAGTTTAAACAAAAGTTCAAGAAATAAGATTTTGGTTTAAACAAATTTCAGATATTTGGTTTCCACCGCTATCTAATTCTATAACATTAAGTGAACCTAATTGGCAGACATTAGTGTCCTACAACAATTATTTACATAGAAACTGTAGAAAACATAAAGACTAAAGTGTTAAAGACAACTTTGGAATGATTTGTGTCTCAGCCAGATATTTCCATGTCAGACTATCAACTAGTGCTACAATCTAAGCATACCTGCCGAGCATTCTGGAGCCTTCTCCTTAAAGCTGAGCACCTTGGCATTCTGAGGGTTTTGTCCTTTACTCAGTGCCTCATTCAGCTGCTGATGGTATCCAGTTTTTGGTGGCGGTGTGTTCTCATCATTTTTGTCGTTCATCATGGCGTAGTGGCTCATATCAATGTCAGTTGTTGATCGATTTGGAATAAATCTAAAAATAAAACATGTATATCAGTATCAGATATCATATAGAGTTAAACAGTTACAGTCTCATTTTTATAAAATCATCATTTCTGGGATCAGCTTGAAGACAATAAAGAGAGAAACAGGTGTAAACAGATCTTTGAAAGAATTCTTCTTTAATCACAATTAAAAGTAACCTTACTGTCCTCAGTGTACTTTTTTCTTAATCTGTCAGCATGTTTCCCCTATATATAATAACCATGTAATTTATGATAAAGTCAGTTTCTGACCGTCTTTAGAGAACCACAACAGTTCATTAGAATAAGAAGGCAAAGCCTAAAAACCAGTTATCTGGCCTTTTTCTGGGGATTCTGTGAGTCACTCTCCAAAATTGATTAATTTCATAATATCGCCAAAGTCCCCAAAACCTAAACATTCTACTGGTGTCCTGTGGTTGTATATGACAGAATCTGACCTTATAAGAAACTTGCACAATACATTAATTATAGGGACCCTTATAGTCTAATATAGAAAATGGTTTAGCCTTTAATGTGATTTCCCTTATACTTAAGCTTCAGGTCAGTAGGAAATAATGCACAAAATTTGCATTCTGGATTTTTGACTATTGAAATATTTGACACCCTTGAGTATGATTCCATATACAGATGTGGGATCATACAACTTTACACAATGTGAGAAGTAAGAATGAGAGGAAAAAATGGACGAAATTTGCTTCATCTTTGTGCATGTTATGTGGTTCTATTGCACAGAGGTGTGATTCTATTTTGATTTATATAAATTAAAAATGACAGGTGTGGGAAAGGGATTATTTGTTTTCTAAATAAGTGTACAGCTAAGTACATTTCCTAATTAAGTTATATGTTTATAGGTTAGACTCATGTAGATCTATCGGGTACAGATTTAATCATTATATACATGCTTGTTTTGTTTACAAAGTGCCACATTTCATTATATATATATATCACCAGGTATAAACATTAAAGGGATGTCTCTTTTTGTCTTGACATAGAATCATCTAAAGCCTTATACCGTTAAATAAGAAGTGTCATTTACATAACCTCTGTATTACTCACATTTTTCTATCATTGTGTTAACAAAATACACATACTCAGGTACATCTTAAGGGTTGTGTTTGTTACATGGCAGACTTAGCTGATATAGACCTGTCATGTTTACCTGAATACAGGTAATTTTTGTTTGCCACTCTTTAAGCTGTGCAACGATACTAGATCAATTAACGCAGGATCCACCTGTATTTTGTTGTCAAATTAAAAATGACGTTTATTACTGATCAATATTTAGTCTATGATCACTTGTTATAACTACAAAAGTTTTAAGTTAATTATCAATCAGTTATATTAGTCAATCATTTTTACCACACCACTCGAAATGTGCAATCCTATTGTACAGTTGTACACTTGATACTGTACCATGCATCTGATGATGTGTACAAGATGTGCGTATGAAGTTTTTGGTGTATTATGTGTTGCCCCTACTGCTGTACAATATCTTCTTCCTTCTGAATCTGCAATGGTTATTAAATCTGCTAGCAACCAGTATGACTACTGTCAACCTCGCGAAGAAAATCACTCAAAAATTGTTGACATCTTGTCTTCAAAACTTTAACACTGACTATATGTTGGCTATAGGGTGGTCGGGTGATGCAGGCGTAATGCACTCACCTTTCACCTAGCTGACCAGGCTTCGATTCATGGAACAGATGTGAAAAGGTAGGGGGTCACCCCTCCGACTACATGGGTTTTCCCAGAGTACTCTGGTTTCCAACAACTTTAAGACCCTTTGCATGCTTAAGCGAGTAATATAAGTTGCTATAACTTGCTTCGTAATTGTTGTGTTATAAATAAAGTTTGTTGGAAATCGATGTAGGGGAGACAACTCTTAACTTCAAAATATAACTTCAATTTACAAATTTCTGGAATGAGATATATAGATCCAGTATTATAAATAAGGTTCACTTTTGATCACTGGAGCAATAGCTTTTGACCAAAGACAACTGCCTAGACAGAATGTGAGGAACCCTTGAGTTATGCTGTGCGCCAGTCAGTCAGTGCATCAAAAAGACAAGGCATTGACTCCCAAGAGGCAGGGATAAAAGCCACCCATCTTGTGTCTGCTGAACACTGATGAATGTCAGTGAAACCTGGTCATGAGCCATCTTACAGCTCTGATCATTAAGCCTGGAAAAACCTAGAGCAATCACTGAAGATTTCAGTGGATACCATACCTGTCTTGTTTTGGCTGTGGTTGTTTGCCAGGTGTCTTATTTGGAGTTTTTGATGGGTGTTTCCCTTGTGGCTGGGTCTTCCCTGGTGTCTTATTTGTTGTGGGGAAAGTGAGTGTTTTACTTGGTGACAGCGGTGTCTTAGGAGTTATCCCTGGTGTCTTGGCAGATCTTGGTTTCCATGGTGACAAGGGACCTCCTAGTTTAATAGTTCATTAAATGGATTATTGAAATTTACGTTTGCTGCACATTCATTTTTCTTACAAATATCAACACTTGAAATTATTTTTAAGCAATACATCAATGAAGACTAATATTTCGGCATCAAAAATTACAATTTCAAGGACATCATTTTCTGTATGACTATAAAATCTTCTGTAGGGCCTGCAAATATACTGATCTCCAGGAGATTTCAGGAAACACCATTTTGTAATTTTCGAGCTTCCTCATTAATTGTACTATAAAATAAATTGTACACAGGCATGTTTTTTTTAAAAAAAATATATGTTCACTGTCTATTCTCAGATCAGAAATTAAGTCAAATTCTGGTGCTAAGTGAAAGACAGATTTACATACTGGTAAATACTTAAACATCAAGTGTTGTGATTTTCACAACAGTTAAACCAGAGCTCCCAGTAAAGCTACAGAATGAATTGAAAACATACATATAACTTTATCATGTCCTTAGTGCAATCCACCAAACAAAGGAATTAATATTTGCATTCCAACTATTCACAATAAAAACTTCTTTTTTAACAGCAAGTCAATTATGAAATAGGCACAATTAGAGTGTCACTATGCTGTCTTTACCATCAAGCTCTTTTTTACTTGCATTCAGCATGTACATGTAACAATATTCAAGGTTTTTATACATACTTGGCTCAGTTCCTACTTGAAGGTAACTTAACCCAGCTTCTTCAGCTTTTCTCTGCCACCTCATCTTAGGACCTTTTTTTATTTCTCCATCCATTCGTGTCACCTCTGACACCATGCTGTGAAATTGGAACTGCGACATTCTTGAAATCTGCAAATTACAAATTAAAACCAAAAATGACAGAATCGTCCTTACAATAAACATTTTTAATATTTGATTTTTTAAAATTATTTTATTAGATAGATTACTTGCAAGTACAAAGAGTGAATCCATGTAGTCACTTCAGAGAAAATACACAAAATCAATAATATGTAAAAGTTTGTAATAATTTGTAAATTTCCACCCTACACTACTCCCTCCTTTGACCCTGAAGAAAACAACCCAGGTTTATTACTCCCAAAGAAGTATCTCAATCTCCAGTAAAATATGTATAAATCAAAATCAATCTTCTATATAGCTTCTACTCTCGATGTGGTCAATGACACAAAATTTGTAATAGGAAGGATTAATGAAAAATATCCTGCTCTTGGCGGGATTCAAATTAGCAACCCTGGAGTCTCTTGCTGGACACTCTACTGCTCAACTAAAAGGAAATTCACACTAGCCGAAAATAGTAAGGCATCAGGTACTCTCAACTTTTACACATTCACAATGCCATAGTTTAAGGTTCTTATTTCAAATTTCAGGATAAAGGAGCATAGTTGGTCTGAGCAAAGTACATGCATGTTATCAAGATATTCATTTCTATATATCAATCAGGTGTCACTACTTCAGTAATTATCACATCTGTCTATATTTATATATTCACTGTATCTCTGTTTTAAATCTGAAAGCCAGTGGCAGTCGTCTTTGTATCTTTGGATATCATATGGAATTTTAATACAAGAGACTTATGATTAGTTTAGACAGGGACGTAGATATCTATTATCTACGTCCCTGGTTTAGAATCCTTGTCCATTTTATTGATGCTTACTTACTCATTCAAATGTCTTTTTGTAGTTGTACTTAAAAACATCAATGTTCATAAGCAGAAGTCAATCAAAATGAATACCATTGTTCATAAATCGAACTGAGTATCCCTGAATTACGGATATCCATTAATAAATTTATGACTATCCATCGATTATACTAGGGACTTATTTCCACTGTTGTTGATGTTTTACCCTTTCCCCTAGGTCTTTATAAAATGTTTATATTCCTTCTCCTTTTTTCTACAAATACTGTAAAACATAGAATTAGTAAACGTATTCTTGTATCAAAAATTTTGTCGATCAGTGGCAACTGAACACGTGAAATTATTATCATATTTATCAGTGTTAATAACTTTTGTGAATGAACGATCACATCCTACGATCCTTAAACGAAATGATCAATTAACATGGTGACAACATAATTATTGACTGTTAACTCTGATATGCATACAGAGAAAGAAAGGAAAAAAATAACACACTTACCTTCTTGGTCGTGAATAAGTTGCAACATCTGAAGACTTTAAAATGTAGCGCGTTTACATCACGTGATATCAGACAAACCCGAAGCTTACGGCGATTATTCACTGTCATTGGCTAATATTAGATTAATGGCGGCGCCCATGGTAAATTGATTCGGAGTTGTTAAATCTTTCTCAAGCTGTTACCAGCTGTTCTGACAAATGACACTTCTTGGAAATTGAAGGGTTGTTTGTTTACAAATGATTCTCCGAGCGTTTTTAGTACAATTGAATCTTAAATGACGATACAAATCTCGTAACAATGCACATTGCTTGCTGTGAATACTGCTTCAGTCGTTCTAGACCAATCGCTACCGATCTAGAATGACACTCCCACTTCAGTCGTGACAACACGTGCCCGTTTTTCTACGATTACCCAGGAAGCCTCCAGATAGCTTATTCCCAGTGGAGTCTAGCTGGGACTAAACAAATTATCTCATGATTTTCAAATTAGAGATTAAGCTTGATGAACGGGTTGCTGTCAATTAAGGTCCTTTATATGCATGTTCAGTTTTACCAGGGACGTATAATACAAAAAATTGTCTAGGAATGAAAACGTTTATATCACTGAAAACAATCCTGGAACTCTTAACCTTATGTAAATTGGTGAATTTTGATCAGAATCCTTCAAGGAATGACAGCTCGCAGTCTCCGACAAGTTTGTGTTTCAGTGTTGAAGGGTCAAGGTCAGGGTCATTATACATTTAGTTCGAAAATCCAATGGTACTTTAATCTAATTAACAATGTTTTGTTGCTGTTTATTATGATCCTCTATCAGCGTGTGAAGTTTCATCAAAATCATTTAAGTAATAAAGCTGCTAGGTTGCCGACAAGAATTTTCTATAAATAGTAATCACATTGGCTCTAAAACTCTTTTGAGATATTACCAGCATGGCCCTTTGTTTTAGTATGTGAAGGTTGATAAAAATCTTTACAGAATTAAGTCGCCAGAGTGCTGACAAATATGGACATTATGCACATACTATATATCCCCTATGACTTTTAGTGGACTTGAGTGGATAATAAATAGTGACAGTTAGATATAGGGATATGAATTAACTGAAATTATTTTTTTTATACTTTGTATGATGTTATTTGGGAGTATTGATACAGAAACATATTAACTATTTGACTTCAAATACCTACAGTTTAAATGTCAAGGACGAAAATTTTAGACCTATTTTGTAATTTCTGCTGCGATAAGTACACATTTGCTTTGAGCACAAAAAAGTTCTGGGTTTGACCTAGAGCAAATGCAATAAAAAATCAGTAATTGCTCAATTTATGGTACACAACTGCAAATACCCAACCTTATCTTCGACCTCTTTCCATATAACCCGAAATGTAAGTTTGGTCCCCATTCTTAATTCGAAAGTTCCATGGAGGCACAAAGATGTGTGTCCAAGGCTTGAATCAGTTGAGAAACTATTCTTTTAATCATTCTGTTCCATTTCATATGTGACATGACTATCTTCAGACATTTGTTTTGTACTTTTAAGTCCTAACGTGGAATTTCCAATGGAACTCGTAAGGGAGCCAGACTAATAATATCTTTGTCATGGGAGAGTCGTGTTATTCCAAAGGAAATGACACGTCTACAAATTTAGAAAAACATCATGTTTTGACCTGGTACTTTCTCTAAGTCTTTGCCTCCAATCAGACCCAAGAGATTGAGGCCAAAAATAAGGATGCTATTGTATTCCCAGTTATGTGAGGAATGGTGATGGAACAATGGATATAATTGATTAATGTAATTGTTCACCTCACTTGATGTGATGATCAACTGTAATTTTGTAATTTTTATTATAATCAGTCATCAGTTCTTTAGTATTTTTTTTGTTCTAGCAAAAACGAATTTCATATCATACATAACAATGAAGCCAATTGCGAATAATATTCATTCTTAAGCAATTCTAGGCAAGTGAGGTGTGTCAGGTTAAAGTTACAAAAAAAGAAAACATTACTTCGACAAAGAATGCATTCACTTTCTATGGATATTGAACAGTCAGCTGATTTTGTAATTGATTAACTACATTGGAAAGCCGATCTGATTTTAAGTGATAATCATGGATATTAACCAATTTTCCAGCATCAGTGAAGTTGTTTTAACAACTTTAAATGGAATCCATTTATTGATTTATGAGGAAGTAGTGTACCTATGGACTTCTTTTTCATTGAAAGCTGGGTATGATAATGTCCTGACCTCCCATTACATTTAGAATTGGGCAGTTCTAAATTTCAGTTTATAGTTGATTATTTCAGGTTTAATGAATCTGAAACATTCATATGTTTGATACCTTGGATTCAATGATACATTATTCTAATTGAAGTATTGTTCTTCTCTATAGATCAGATCTCAAGCAACACGTTTATCAATTGCAAGGTTCTGTAAGATAAGCCAGCTTCAAAAGATGTCTACAGATTCTGGTAAGTTAAATACAAGGTTTTGAATACTATTCTCAACTTGAATTAAGGTACCAAGTTTTTATATTGTTCAATTTTTTTTATCTACTTTGCACATTCTAAATTTATGCATCCAAAATACATGATTTTATTTAGTAGTTATGGTATATACTCTAGTTGCTTTGGTTCTTTTTCTACACTAAAAGAAAATGTATATTTTTCATTGTCATAGAGCCTCCAATTCATGATATGATAAAACCGTTGTCATGGCTACTTGGAAAATGGAACGGACAAGGTGGTATTGGAAAGTATCCTACTATCAAGGACTTCAGTTATAACGAGGAACTGACCTTTAGTCATGTTGGACAACCAAACATCCAGTTTAGGTACGTGCTATGTACTTGAGTTTTGTTAAAGAATGGACCAAGTACTGCAAAACCTCATTATCAAAACAAAATGAATTCATACTTTATACTTTTGGTTATAATTTTGTAGACTTGTGAAAAAAAATCTTAAACTGTTACAGTTTTTATTCCTCACATGCGGAGACCAAGAAGCCGCTTCATCGTGAACTAGGATTTATACGTATCCAGCCAGGCACAACACACTGCGCTTTGCTGATAGCACACAACCTCGGTAAATATGTATATTATGATATCCCTAACCGTACTTAAAACATCAAAAATGTTGGCAACCTTAACCTTTAATCCTCCACTAAGGTATTGATTTCCTGTGCTAACATTTTCTTTCATGACTTTGATCTCTCATTACAACACTGAAGTTTTGTCACCTTGTGCTTCCATACCCTAGTCTGTTTGACCTTTTAAACTCTATTTCATTATTAATATGAACCATTATGGACCTTGATTTCCTATGTAGAATGCTTTCTGTAACTTTGTTCTGTGATATCTTAGATCTGTCATCGACTTCTTTAGCCATGCAACTTGACTTCTGCCAAAATTGTAATAATCTATGTCCAGAGGCTCTGTTATGTTACATGGTATTGACATTCAGTGACCCTTTACCTGAATTTGACTTGCACTGGCATACATTGACCTTTATCCTGAACTAAATCTGTACTGACATTCATGCAGTGACCTTTCATGCTGCACTTGTCCTGAATTGACTTTCAGTGACCTTTTACCTGCAATTGACTTGCACTAACATTCTAGGAACTTTTGTACCGACATTCGGTTACATTTTCTTGCACTTGACCTGCACTGATATTCAGTGACCCTTCCCTGTAGCTGACCTGCACTGATATTCAGTGACCGTTTCCTGTAGTTGACCTGCACTGATATTCAGTGACCGTTTCCTGTAGTTGACCTGCACTGATATTCAGTGACCTTTTCAGGTAGTTGACCTGCACTGACATGCAGTGATCTTTTACTGACATTTTTTGCCTTTAGCCAATGTTACTGCCCTTTCTTGTGAATGAGATGATTTTACAGTAGATATTTGGGGCTGCGAAAGCCTAGTAAGTTAAAACATTGGCCTATATAACATCTGGTGAGTGTGGTGATCAATACTGTACACACTGATGGTATATATATATATATATATATATGTTACAGGTGTAAGTGATGTGATCTGTATTGTACATAGTTACAGGTGTAAGTGATGTGATCTGTATTGTACATAGTTACAGGTGTGAGTGAGGTGATCTATACTGTACATACTGATGGTATATATGTTACAGGTGTGAGTGAGGTGATCTATACTGTACATAATTACAGGTGTGAGTGAGGTGATCTATACTGTACATACTGATGGTATATATGTTACAGGTGTGAGTGAGGTGATCTATACTGTACATAATTACAGGTGTGAGTAAGGTGATCTATACTGTACATAATTACAGGTGTGAGTGAGGTGATCTATACTGTACATACTGATGGTATATATGTTACAGGTGTGAGTGAGGTGATCTATACTGTACATAATTACAGGTGTGAGTAAGGTGATCTATACTGTACATATATATACAGGTGTGAGTGAGGTGATCTATACTGTACATACTGATGGTATATATGTTACAGGTGTGAGTGAGGTGATCTACACTGTACATACTGATAGTATATATGTTACAGGTGTGAGTGAGGTGATCTATACTGTACATAATTACAGGTGTGAGTGAGGTGATCTATACTGTACATACTGATGGTATATATGTTACAGGTGTGAGTGAGGTGATCTATACTGTACATACTGATAGTATATATGTTACAGGTGTGAGTGAGGTGATCTATACTGTACATACTGATGGTATATATGTTACAGGTGTGAGTGAGGTGATCTATACTGTACATACTGATGGTATATATGTTACAGGTGTGAGTGAGGTGATCTATACTGTACATACTGATAGTATATATGTTACAGGTGTGAGTGAGGTGATCTATACTCTACATAATTATAGGTGTGAGTGACGTGATCTATACTGTACATACTGGTGATATATATGTTACAGGTGTGGATGAGGTGATCTATACTGTACATACTGATGGTATATATGTTACAGGTGTGAGTGAGGTGATCTATACTGTACATAATTACAGGTGTGAGTGAGGTGATCTATACTGTACATACTGATGGTATATATGTTACAGGTGTGAGTGAGGTGATCTATACTGTACATAATTACAGGTGTGAGTGAGGTGATCTATACTGTACATAATTACAGGTGTGAGTGAGGTGATCTATACTGTACATACTGATGATATGTATGTTACAGGTGTGAGTGAGGTGATCTATACTGTACATACTGATGATATATATGTTACAGGTGTGAGTGAAGTGATCTATACTGTACATACTGATGATATATATGTTACAGGTGTAAGTGAGGTGATCTATACTCTACATAATTACAGGTGTGAGTGAGGTGATCTATACTGTACATACTGATGGTATATATGTTACAGGTGTGAGTGAGGTGATCTATACTGTACATACTGATTGTATATATGTTACAGGTGTGAGTGAGGTGATCTATACTGTACATACTGATGGTATATATGTTACAGGTGTGAGTGAGGTGATCTATACTGTACATAATTACAGGTGTGAGTGAGGTGATCTATACTGTACATACTGATGATATATATGTTACAGGTGTGAGTGAGGTGATCTATACTGTACATACTGATGATATATATGTTACAGGTGTGAGTGAGGTGATCTATACTGTACATACTGATGGTATATATGTTACAGGTGTGAGTGAGGTGATCTATACTGTACATAATTACAGGTGTGAGTGAGGTGATCTATACTGTACATACTGATGGTATATATGTTACAGGTGTGAGTGAGGTGATCTATACTGTACATATTGATAGTATATATGTTACAGGTGTGAGTGAGGTGATCTATACTGTACATACTGATAGTATATATGTTACAGGTGTGAGTGAGGTGATCTATACTGTACATAATTACAGGTGTGAGTGAGGTGATCTATACTGTACATACTGATGGTATATATGTTACAGGTGTGAGTGACGTGATCTATACTGTACATACTGGTGATATATATGTTACAGGTGTGAGTGAGGTGATCTATACTGTACATACTGATAGTATATATGTTACAGGTGTGAGTGAGGTGATCTATACTGTACATAGATACAGGTGTGAGTGAGGTGATCTATACTGTACATACTGATGGTATATGTGTTACAGGTGTGAGTGAAGTAGAAGAAGGTGAGTTTACAGACACAGAAATGAGGACAGAATCTCATACTGTTGGACGTCTGACATTTGGTAAACCACCAGAAACAAAAAAGGTAATGCTTTCAATGTATTGGAATGTAGATAGATATATTCATTGCAGACAATGTTTGTAGTGTAGACTTTCAATACCAATAAAGAGTTGAGATTTTTCTGTTTGTCATCTTGGTTTGAGTTCTAATGTAGCTTTATTACTTTTTAGACTAGATGTCCAGCTGTGAAATCTTCAAACATATATATCTTAGAAGAACTGCAATGAAGTTTAAAAGCTGTTCTCAGATACCTGTTTTTGCAAATCATCAACTTTCAACAAGTTTTTGGTTTGAATTTATCAAGGTAAAGGGTGATGTTTTATTAATATTAAATGTATTTGTCTACAACTGATGTTTCTATCTTTCTTTCCATTCGACAGATCATAAGAGTCTTCCGCAAGATTGGTGATGACCTTGAACAAGTCGTTTCTATGGAAACTGCAAACACACCAATGACCGAACACCTACGCATTACATACAAAAAAGCTGTGCCCTGAACCATTTACATGTGCATCAATGAAAATTGAAATCATTCATGTTCTGACTTATCATATCAAGATAAATTTAGGAATCTGTGATAAAGAAATGTGATCAATTGTGATTTCACTCTGTGAAATAATTCAATTTATAATTAAGTATACAAAAAATTGGATGATTGAAATATTAATGAATAGACTATATTTCAAAGCCTGATAAAACATGTTGCATGGTACAAAATGTTGAACAAAATCTGCAGAAAAAAAATATATTTTTCTTGTCATGACAAAAGGCTTTGCTATAATTTATTGAACTCATATTAAGCCTTTTCCCAAAGCTGCATTTGGGTGAATGAGACATTGTTAGGACCATTGGTTCTTATGTAAAATATGTGCCATTTTTTTAAACTCGTATTCAAGAGAATATTGGTGTTTTGGTGACAAATTAATTTGTAAATAAAAAAAGAATTGTGTGATTTCCACACAATAACGAACATGTGATTTAACTTGCCAATTATGAATGTGATTTAATGATATATGTATGATATTTCCTGGATTAATGGAGTGATTGTTTTCTTTACTGCACAATGTATATGTGAGTGATAAAGTTGATAACACTTTATCAATAAATTGGAATGACAGATTTTCAAATTTTCTTCCTGTAAATGAATAGGAGTCTGATTTCAATTTATGTTTGATGAATGTGTACAAATGGATTTCAGGTGTGTACTGTGTTAAGACCAGCTTTGCAATTACAAGCAAATCCCTGTGTCGTTTTGTGTTTCTCTGGAAAATGAGAATCAGACCAGTTTGTGCTGATGTTGTGCAATCCTTGAGCAAAACAGTTTACCTGAATTGCTCTGTGTGGAATGCAACCGGCCTCCTGTATGTTGTTCAGTGAGGTAGCTACCAGCTACTACAAGGAAACTCCACCTCAAAATGACCCTGGCTTTTTAGGGGACAAAAAACCCAGCAAACAAAGGCAGTTGTGATTTTGATTTTGTGTGTAATTTTGTCTTTATAAATGATGAGTGTGATGACTTTCTTTAACATGATATATACTTTACTAGAACAGCTGAGATGATTTATCTGTGTCATTAATTTTGTTATAACACTCAGGAATAAGCCTTCCTATACAATTATCTACATGTTTGTTTGCCTAAAAGTATTAGGAATTAATTACTTTGGCACAGTTTGTATCAACGAGCAGTGGAGCAGGTTTCGATGTAAGACCTCTGTGTTAATATTGGTAAATTATCTATACAAATGTATTCACACTTTTTCTCCTGACCTTGCAGCCCTGGTAGTCTATTCAGTTAATCTGAAAACTGAAACATCCTGGATTATCAACTCCCTGATCAGATCCTGTAACTTCTGTTCCTCATGGAAATGATGAAGCCTATGAACTGTACATGGATATCAAACATGTAGATGATTCTGTAAAGTATATCCCATGGTGAGATTTTTAGGCAAGCTGTATGGTTAAGTCTATTAATATTAGGTTCCTTGTAAAAAAGTTGTGACACAAAAACTTATTTTCATTCCTTTGCCAAGCTAATTGCAATTTTCATAGATTTATGTTACAGTTGAGTGATATGTGAATATATACACACATTTTATCACCAGTGCACCACTGTAAGAAAGCAATTAATCAGATATTCTATGACAGTGATATTGATATAGTCAATCTGAGGCAGTTTTTTTTATTGCGGAATCAAAGTTGGACTGCTGAGGAAAAAAGAAAAAGAAATAATTAAAGCCAAGCTTATTTGAGATAGATTATTTCTTTTGAAAAATTCTGCTTTGTTGTTAATTTGTGATTGTGTATGTTTTTACCAAAATAAATAAAGTACTTTTTGAAATAATGCTTGTTCTTTTCTATGAATATTAAAAAAATGTTTCCATCTATATATGACATATATTACTCACACAGTTACCTTGATTTGAGGAGTAAAGAAGTTACATTTTTTTCTTTACTGAAGCATATGCTATGAAAACACATATTTGGAAAAAAGCAAAAATAAACAATGCCTATAGGATCTGTATCACTCAGCTGGTCACAGCAGTTTTTATATCCATTATACACGACAGGGAAAATCTTTCCACATGTCCAATAATCTTTAAGGTCAATGCAAATGCTTTGTTTGTGAACATAACTACAGTAGTGTTCACTTCATCCAAGGACATGACTTTAGTGTATCTGACTGTAGTGATTTCACTATTTGGTTGTGGGTATTTCAGCTGTGAAGGAATCTCTCTGGTATTGAAAAAATTGGTGTTTCTCCGTTTTCTCCCTCCCTGCTGTTGTTTCAAATCTGTCGTCCTCATATTCCATCTTTCTTCAATGACTTCAATGGCAGGAAGGACTAAATAAGGTTTAGTGTTTTAATAGAGAATGTTTTCCTTACTGTCTCACCCTTCTGGAAACTTACTGGAGGTTGCCATAAACTGCATTAATTTGAAATATGAAACCCTTTCCCTGAGAATGTTTCAGGTTGGGTTTAATTTTTTTTTTTTTTTTTAAATATTGTTTCCTTTTTATTTGTTCACCTGGCCCATCTGTCCACCATCCATCCGTCACCTGTCCACTTATCCTTTTTCCTATAAAGCACTTTTAGTGATGAAGGACTGAGTGGATTTTAACCAAATTTGGTCTGGAATATCCTCGTAGGAAGAAGTTAAAATTCTGTGTAAATGATTGGTCTGTGGATATTGTCCAAATTTGGTGTGAAGCATGCTATGGCATTGAGAAATAAATTATGTATAGATGACGGGTTTTGGTCCCTTGGGATGGGAGGGTCAAGGCCCAAAGAGAAAATAGAGCTATTGTTTTAAAATCCAACTCCTCCAATAGTCATGTTTGGATTTTGCCCAAATAAGGTCTGCAGCATCCTTTGGTGGAGTGGAATCAGTTTTGAATAAACATTGGATATTGGCTTCCTGGAGATGAAGGGTGGGGTCCAATAGGGGAAATAAATAGTTCAAATTCTTAAAATTCATTCTTTTAAGCAGATGTCTGAATTCTGACCAAATTTGGTCTGAGACATGCAGAAATACAGCAAATTCCTTAAAATCCTTTTGGATTGATTGAATATTGAGTAGATTCGATCTGAAGCATCATTGATGAAGATAATTTAGTTTTCTACAAACAGTGCATTTAACCCTCTTCAGAAGGAGGGGCAGGGCCTAATAGGGTAAATAGATACAAATGTTTGAAATACTTTTCCTTCAGTTTAAACTACCAGGTAATCAATTTTATCAAACTAAACCAGGTAAGTGATACAGGCGCTACTTTATCATGGCAGATTCTCGTTTCCAGTTAGTGAAGTATTATTGTGCACTAAGCTTAAAATTATAAGCATTATAATCATCTCAATTTTCACAGCCATGGAAATTGGAAATTGATCAATACTGACAGAATCATTCTGAATCACTACCATGACTTTCAGTTTGTGTTTTTTTTATCTCACAAAGAGCATTGAAAAGTCTCATTTCCAATGCAATAGGCTGACCTTAGGACTATTGCATCAGCTGATAGAACAAGGTCTAAATTCTACTTATTTCATGACTGTTTTCAATTTTTGAATTCATATTTCATTAAAAAAATTAATATTGCGTAAAATCAATATAATATTTCAAGTAAACAAGTGTTATTTGAAAACATGAAATAATACTGCAATAGAACAAGACATTATTTCGAATGAAAACAAAACTATAAGAAATATTTTAAAAAATGAGTATTTGGTAAAAATGATATTTTATTTTGAAAAATGAGATACTCTTTAGAGAATAGAATATGAATATTTCCATCAAACGAAAGATTATTTTGAAAAAAATGGAATAGTGTTTTTAAAAAGAAAACTTGAATATTTCATAAAAAGTGCAATTATGTTTCGATAAAAGGAAATGATATTAAGGTAAAACCAACTGATATTTCGTAAAAATGAAATAAGTATGAAATATTGCAGTAAACGGGCTCCTTAACAATTCCAAGGCCAGTCATGAACACGTCTACCGTCATATCATACAAGGAATATAGTATCAATCCCAACGAGATATTCCTGCATCATCTATCATCTCTTTAGTCTCATCCTCGGTACCCTAAACGTATCGCACTCTGCACTCATGGAATATATCATGACAAAAGTTGCATGTGCAATACTTTGTGGCTAAGACGAGAAGATTGGTTTGATCTTTTGATGTACATTAAACAAATCTCGAGGTCGCATAACGGTATTGTTTTACAGCCTTTAAAGTTGTTTAATATTCAAAGGAACGTATCAGTCTGTTGTTGTTACGTTTTTTTATGTCTTCGGATCGAAAGACCGGGGCATATTGTTTTTGTGCTGTCTGTTTGTCTGTTGTCAACTTTTACCTTGACCTTTGGTACAGGAAGAGGTAGGGCTTGAAGATTCCACTGTTCCTTGTTACATGACCATGTGACCTTGACCTTTCACTTACATTTGAAATTTGAAAAAAAAAAAATCATTGCCACAACGAAGATAAGTGTTTCGCAAAGCGTGCATGCAATTAACACATGCCTTACACAGTACAGTTTTAATGTCCCATTTCTGAATTTTGTTGCAATCAGAGGACATAGTGTTTCATGGACATACATGTATCTTGTTTTCTTCTGAATCTCACTGTAGACCAAACAGTTTACTTCGCGTGTGCCTTCAGTTTTATCAGGAAGTGTTCAAGGGCTTCAGAGAGCGATAGAGATATGACCTCTACCGCATATGTTACCAAATGTCAACAATCAAAATAATTCATTAGTTTGAAGAGAAAAAATACAAATAGATTGTAAAGGCTATACATATTATACCGCCTGGAGAATCTGGCAGAATCTGGGGATTCCAACATTCACTCACAGAAGGTCGTGATAATCACCAGAGAGAAGAGTTCGGTGCCAACTATGACATAGAAGCAGACATGCCTGCTACCGTAATCTGATATCCTATCAAATCTTATAAAATGTTTGGCTTGTCTGATACCTCTGTTCATGACCAGATATTACTGAATTTGTAAAAATTAACATTTAATTCAGTATTTTTTATGTTTGCAATTTAAATGGTAAATACAGGAACAAAATGTTTGCTTGGTAAATATGGCAGCGAGAAGTCAATTACTGCATGATATAATCATTTATCACATATCTGCTCTGTTAAAGACACGTATGGAATAACTTGGAGGAGCAATGGTTTCCATTTAGGCTAAAGAACTTGGGGCGTCTTCACCAATCTAGAATTTTAATGCTACAAAAGTGTCTAAGTTATGTGGTAATTGATAAATATTTCATTAATTTCATTTTTATCTTACAAGAGAATCAATAAAATGAAAACAAAATTCAAAGGCTTGATTCTTTATCTGAAATTATTTCAAATCGTTAAAGATTCTATTTAGTATCATATTACATGCTGTGTGTTCAGCAATAAGGCATTTCTGATGACTAAGCGTCCTTAATATAAAGTAGTCATAGAACGCACTCGAGAAATTGTAAACATCCGGTCCAGGCTGACATTGAGCCACTCATTGGTTGGGGTAAATAGTTTAGTTGATTTCATTTCTATCTAATGTTCGTCCTTTTGTTTTCGATTGTTAAGTAAATATTTTTTGATATTAAAGTGAGTTGGATATTTAACATGTGAAAATGACGGCGATTTACCGTTTAACCACAGGTACCAGCCTCGTCTGTCAATACGCTGGTATTATTTGAGTGTGTTGACAGAACGAAACAGGTAGCTATGGTTGTCGTACACAATTAATGTAAGCACGGACTTGGGTATATGCTAAATATAACTATATCTAAGTCCGTGCCGATGTAAGTTCTCACACATCAAGGAATATTACACACGTGTACAGTGCAGGTAAGGACCATGGTCTTCCCGAAAACTACATTAAACGCAACATGTCAAACAGAAAAAACAGCCTTTATGGCTGCAACATTACTTTGTTAGCGAACTGGTTCCATCACGTCTTAGATAGCTTTCGTCATCGCTATACTTTGCTGTTATTACTAATCCTCTCCCTCATTAAACTCAATCGTCTCTGTAGAGGGTTGTTGCTCCTTACAATCACAAACGACATTTTGGTGCCACGTTGTCGAACATTTTGTGTACACTTTGCATGTCATGTCAGACTAACACTTATCCCATCTTATCATCAATTTGTTACATGATTATGTTTTTCTGGAAGTTCTTTTAATACATAAACAATTCTTAAAACTCGTTATGTTTCAAAATAATATCTGAATTATGATTATTAAATGGTTGTCCTTATAACGGTGGCATATATTGTATTCATATTATCGATAGTGTTCCAACTAGAATCAAGCTAAGAAACGTGCTGCATCAGCTCCTTAATCTGCCGCTGTTAATTAAATTGATACATGTGTTCCATCAAGACGCTTTAAACTATGACTGCTTTTCATTTTTAGTAAGACAATCTTGTGTATGGAGCTGTGACTTGGTAATGCCTTTTTGGGCTGGAAAGAAACCCGTTCGTGACCCTTGTCAAAAACAGGCTTGTGATATTCAAGCATGCTTACAGGGTAATGTTACAATTATTGTGTAGTAATATCTCTTATACCACAGTTCTACTGGTAACATTTATACATTCAGGTGATTTTTCGGAGGGTGTGGGGGCAGGCCGTATGGCTAAATTCAGGTTGGTCCTAATTAAACTATTTCTTTTATTTCCTCCAAGTGTGAAGAGTTGTACAAAAAGAACATAATTGACATTACAGAAAGTAATAGTGCGTTTGTACACAAATATACACATAAGAAACATTTAAATTAATATAAAGTAAACAGTAGACACAGAGTTTAAGTAAACAGTAGACACAGAGTTTACGTACGTATATTGTATACATACAACAACTCCTATAGTTAAGAATATAAACGCGCGAAGTAAGCGTTTTCCATGTGGAACGATATAATATAAAGAAAAGTTATATAGTAAACACATATACATACAAGAATCATTTCAATTACATACAAAGTAAACAATAGACACAGAGTTTACGTGCGTGTATTGTATATATACATACAACAACTCACATAGTTAAGAATATAAACGCGTGAAGTAAGCGTTTTCCATATGGAACGATATAATATAAAGAAAAATTATGTAGTAAACACATTGTTTTCAATTGCAGCTAAAAACTATGATGAATCGGCTTGTCGCAAATTCACAAAAGCGCTTGAAAGATGCTGTGAACGAAATGTGGGGAAAGAATCAGTTTGCTGTTCTGGTATAAAGACTTCATCAGGGACGTCTGATAAGTGACAAGGATGATTTGTCCTATTGTTCAATACAGAGACGGTGCGATAGTGGGACATTTTATTCGGAAGTACATATCAGCTGTTGAATCCTGTTTTTGTTTTTTAGACACGTTTCTTTATTTAGTGTCAACTAAAAATGGAAGACTTTACCAGCAGTGTACACTCTGTGAGTAACATGGCCTGGTGGTATTCTGTTTTGTTTTGATTTTTGAGGGGTTTTTTTGTCAATAAAACATGACCATATTGATCACAATGTGTGTGTTATGTTTTGGAGAGTATCGTTTGATTCGCCACTCTGGTATGTTCATACTAATTCTGTTGGAAATTATGTTTATATATGTGCATTTTCTTGTTTTATAGTCACGCCCAAAAGTCTTGAAAGTGTGATTTTGGTGTAAATTTCCCAGCGATGCTGCGGCATCTTCGTCAACATTTCATTCGAGGCTTCTGTTAAATAGTATAATCGAAACATTCAAAACTAATCTTTGTTGATCATTGATCGGACACCTCAACAGATCTATAAGTCAAACAATCCTGATGCTGAGACTGGACTTCAGCTCTGTTTCACATAAATTCCAAAAGGTACATTTTCAATCAAATCTGAAATAAAGTTACATTGCAGAACAAACATCTGCCCCATCAGATATTTAAATATACTTCCCTTTATTTGTATTTTTGTCTTTATGGCTTGCTCTTCCACTTCAGGTTTTGCTTTTATTCATATTGAAACAAGTATTGTATAGCGTCTACCTAACGAGTGTTCCTCTCCAAGATTCTCGGGCAGAGTTACGTACTTTTGGAGTAAAAATGTTGAGTTAAGTATGAGAAGCGAAGAATTGTTAAAACGTTCGAGGTTTTACAATGAATTATTTCAACATGAAATATTTTCATGTTATCAGTAAAATTTTCTTTTTTTAGAGGTTAGGTTGGCGGAGGCAATAATTTAGCATATGTTAGGAAAAATAATTATGTTAGTGTGTTGGAGTATACTTAAAATCACCACGATACTAAAGCGGGACAGACGTGATATATAATTAAGCGTAATACCTGTCATTTTGTGAAAATGGCTAACTAGCATTCTTAGTAAATCATGATGTAATTGAAAAGAAATGAGTTTAAAAAGTCAACGCCAGACATTGTCTTCTCTCCAGGGACATTACAAGTCTCCGTCTCGTATGGATGTTGGTGCAGTAAGAATTAGCATTTCACCCGCAACGAGTTTTGATATAATCCGTGATTTTGGCCATACCCGAGATAGAAGGGCAAATTCGATGAAACCTAGAAAGAGGATGGTTTCAAATGATCTTTCAAATGACGCTGTTCCATATAGATTGACTTGAATCGAATTTTGTGCTGTTCCGAATGCTTTAATAATCAGACTTAATTAAGAAAAAAGTCTTTGACGATTGTATTTCATGATCAATGGGAAACAAACGCCATTGTCTGTTTCACAGACTTAAAATAATGTACACCTGATGTACAAACGGCATGCAAACGTAATACAGGTAGATTGGAGGTCGACTTGGGGCAACCCAACTTCATGCTTCGCCGCGCAAATACTAAAAGGTGCATTCTGTCGATACATCTATTCTTAGTCTGTTTTTTTTTCAATGCTCCGACTTTACGATTCCTGAGCGATGTAATATGGCTAGTATTAACATAATGTCCCAGAGCAAAGCGCTTGCCATCGAGTTCTCAGGGTTACTGATATTTGAAGAAAAAAATAGTTTAAAAAATCAAATAAAGATAGGTCACACTTTAAGTTGTGTCTTTCGGTTCACTCGAACGCACCGACTTGCACAGGAAATCGATAAAACAGAAAGACACATACAAACGTACTGAAAGTAGGCAGACTCAATATGCCGTTGGAATGATGTCATTATTATCATCGACATATTAATGGCAAAATATGATGCTGATGAACAAGTGTTTGTGTACCATGGCGTTACTTCACTGCCGTCTGCCAATGACAGTTGCTGTTATGCAAATTACTAGAGGTTATATCGAAACCGGAAGAAGATCTCAGTTAAACAATTTTGGCGGGACCTGTGCCAGGCGTACTCTCTTCCCAAACACTATCGAAAGACACCGTAAAATGAAACGAGGTGCTCTGATCGTCTTTGAAGGGGGAGACCACAGTGGGAAAACAACGCAATGCACCAAACTCATTCAGGCGTTAACCTCTAAAGGAAAAAATGTAAAGCTGTTAAAGTACCCAGGTAAAGTTGTAGAAGTTCAGAATGTGTAATTTGAATGCCATGTTGCAAAGTTGCCACGGTCAGTGGGGGATTTCCCTTGTCAGACCAGGTAGTCAAGTAAATTTTATTTTTAAGTTGGTACATATATATATATATATATATATATAAACACAAGCCAAAATCTTTTACAACCAACTTTTAAACATCTGTAAAATATTTCAAAACAACATTCATAGATACAAAAGCAACTAGGACGGTACTGGTTAATTAACATTTAATCATAAGCGTATAGAATTATAAAGCAATTTTACTGATATATACACACAATGCAAAACAGACTTCTAAAGATGATAATGATATAATAGCACTAACATAGCAGTTATAACTAATCTACTAAGGTGTAAGAACCACAAAAACTGTTGAATTTAGGCTAAAAGCTATAAAACAAAACTTATAAAACAAACATGTCTGACCTTACAAAAAGAGAAGCAAGTGCAAGATACTACCATCTTCAAGCTTCATATTGACAAGTCTTTCCATTCCATTAAAAGAAGTAATTTTGTGCATGTGGTCAGGTAGGGAATTTCAGATACTTGCAGCAAGATACCTTAAACTATTTGTTCTATACCTCACTGTCTTGCTACTTGTTAGGTCTAAAATTCTAGAATATCTGAAGGTTGTACATGAATAAAATCCTTAAGGTAGCATGGTGAAGAACATTTTTCATAAAGGGAACATCATTTGAAATAAGAGGATGAATTTGAAATCCCAATGCATTCTTTCATTAGAGTTTTTTTCCCTCAGAACTTTAAACTGATTACAATACTAATATAATACCCAACAATAATACTTATAGAGGGAACTGGTCTTTTATATGATCAGGAAATAAATCACTTCTGTTAGACCCCCATATTCCATGCTAGTGGATGTTCAAGGTCACATGTCATCATCTATTATTCCCTATAGTATTGTGTGATCTATTCAGTCGCCTCAATGAGATTTAATTACAATTAGACACCATTAGGATACAAAAGCAAGTGTTATTAAAGATTTTGTAATTTTAGAAACTTTGTTAGGCAAGGGCTTTTTTAAAACTGATTCAGGACAGGCCTCTAAAATATAACGAAAAGAAGAAAACATAGATATATGGCTTATTAAACATTATTTTATTTCAGACAGAACTTCTACCATTGGCCAGATGATAAACAACTACCTTGGCAAGAAATGTGAAATAGAAGACCATTCCATCCATCTTTTGTTCTCAGCCAACAGATGGGAAAAAGAGTGAGCTTCAGAATGCGAAATTTTGTGATGATTTTTTAAGATAATAAAAAATTACTAATTTTACGTAGAATTAATAGGGTTATTGAACAAATAATTGTATTACATTGTTATGTAATTGGAAAGGGTTATAATGCTGTTCATTAACTCCTAGACATGGTATAAGTTACTAGTACTTGCACCAACTGTAGTATATAATGACAGTATATAAGAATGTACTACTGGATAAATTCAATATAGCAAGAGTTGGTTTGTGATACCGAAAAAAGGTATCAATGCAATCAGGATTTGTCTGTTTATAAATGTATGATGCATAAATGTGAAAAACATCATCTCAATCATCAAAAGCATAAAAATATCAGTTTTAAAAAACTTGAATGTCACAAAAATGGAAGAGGGCCTGAAGAAAGGAATTTTGACTGACACTTTAAAAGAAATTTGCAGTAATGATGAAGAAGAAAAAGAAAAAGAATGAAGTATTGTGAGTGGTATCATAGTACAGTTTGTAGATTTGTGAAAATGAAGTTCAATTCTATCAGGAGAAAGTATAAAAAATCTATAAATTTGATTGTCAATATATACTGTTTATATATTACAGACCAATCATGATGGAACTTTTGAATTCTGGAACTACATTGATTGTGGATAGGTATGCATTCTCAGGTGTTGCCTTCACAGCTGCCAAGCCAGTAAGTAACATCAGGTTTAATTCTGTATTTCTTAATGAGCAATCCAATTTTAATCCCACTCAAATTAAAATTAAATCAAAGTACTGAAAGTACTGGTATGCTAAGACCATTAAAACAATAAACTCTTTGTTATTAGCTTGCTATATACTGAAAAAAACTATATGCAAGCAGTACATCATTGCAGCCCATAAAAAATGACCAGCAGGTATCAGAAATAACAAGCATAGTAGTATTACTTATGTAATAAATGTCCCAAATAGGCTCCAAGATGATAGGGAAGTTGTCCATTTCTTTGGATACATTGTAGGGAATGTTGATCTTGGACACCATATTATCACTTTAAAGACTGCGTATCTTATTGGTTTAAGATCATTAGCTAGACCATCATGCAAATAATATGCTATGTACAAATATTGGGCAGCTTCATTTTCCAGATTGTTTGTAAATGACTGCATAAGAGTGCCAATTTTATAAAACAAACATGATTTGTCACCATAACTTAAAATAGAAGATGCCTATTCTTCTGGAACACCTGGTCTTATTCTCCTTGTACTTTTTCAGGGAATCTTCAAGTAGATATTGTCTTTGTTTCAATTTCACACTTGTTTTGCTGGTTCTACAATTCTGTTGACATGTTTATATATTCTTTGTTCTCTAAAACTTGTCGCAAGATACTTTATTCCTCTTGTATTATCATTTTTTAACATCCTTACAGTGACCATGAACCTTGAAATTTGCAAGATGTGAATATCTTTTAGGTTGTGAAATTTGAAAGAAGAATGAGGGTAATGCAAAGGAAAACACACCCATGCAACTATCCCTTTTTGACTGTGACCTTGATCTCGGACATCTGACCCTGAATTTCTTAAGAAACCGAATTCTCATAAGGGATACATGTTCCAAATTTGATTAAGGTATACTAACTGTTTTAGTCTCAATGCGTTTACAAGGTAATCATATTGTACTTATGCAAGTACTGTGACCTCTACATTCAATCCTCAAAATCATTACTATATCCTCTCCACATTGCCCAGGGATAACTGAAACTGTAATCCAAATGATAACTAATACCCCCAACACCCACAGCCTTAGTTATCTCCCCATGGTGACCTTTTGCACAGAAACATCCTCTGAAACACAGCGGCATGTGCACATATTCCCTGACATTCCTGCGAAGTTTTGTTGAAATTGGTCCACAGGTTTGGAAGTTGACCAACATGCAAAACCTGTCTATATTGACCAGTTGCCATGGCAATCAATATTTCGAGAGAAAATGGTGCATGCACATCTACACATTGTCCCGAATATTACTGTAAAGTTTCATTTGAGTTGTCCAGACAAGATGTGTCTACAGACAGACAAACAGATGGATGGACGGATAGACAACCTGATTCCAGTTTACCCACCTTTTGGTGGTATAAGAATGCACAAGAGTGCTTACAAATTCCATGTGGACAGACATCATTGAAAAATAATAATAATAATAAAAACATGATAAAGATGCTTATATCTTGTTTTATTCAGTTTTTAGATACAGTATTCTTTCCATGCTTTGATCAGCAATGTAATCTTGTCATGTCAATACCCTAGTACAAGATTGCATACACAAAATTGTTGTAGGTGGACTTTTAAGATGAATAAAAAAAAATACATGCCTAAGTTTAAATGAAGGTTTTAAACAGAAGTTGTAATATGTTCAGTATGCAGTGATTTTTCTAGACAATTGTAAACCATAAACTTGGTATACAGCGATCTTTTCTACACATTTGTAAACAACAAACTCAGTATGTGGTGATCTTTTCTACAAAAAGTTTTTTTTTATATATATTGTATACACTAAACTCAGAAAAAAAATAAATAAGTAAACCTTTCTATGTACACTACAAACTCAGTATACAGTGATCCTTTATACACAAACTTGGTATAACTAGTGAATCTTTCTACTCAAGTAAATTGAAGATTGTATACAAATTTACTACAAATGCAGTATACAATGATCTTTTCCACATTTTTTAAGTTTCTGCCATTTGTTGATTCTTCTTTCGTGATGGTAAATATATTGCCGCCTTTAGAGAGTACTGTGACCTTAAAAGGCAACATGGTTGTTAGCATCTCCTCAAGTGAATAATCATCTTCAACATCTAATTGGAGGCCGGAAAGAAGGACGTTTTTCTCCACCATAAGGTCCTCAAATCCATTGTTGGTCATAATAGCCAATTCCAAGTTAGAAGAATCAATAGAGATACCTTCTACCATTCCAGATTTCATTTCTTCAGGGACATCCACCTCCTGAAAGAGAGTAAGGGAAATAAATAACTATATTTCATTATTGCTATGATTATGTGCAAGAAATATACACTTCTGTATAAGCTTATAGTCTTGAACTTCCCAATAGGAGTCTATATTAAATATATTGTAATTACTTATTTTGACGTTCAGGACTGTCAAATTATTAAGCGATGGACAGCTAGCAAAATAATAATATCTCGACCATGGTCATACAGAGATTGTGTAATTTAATTAATTACATTGGACCGTCATGTAATGGTAATCTAATTATTTTGAAAATACCTGTAATGGAAATGCCATTTTCATAACATAATTTAAATTTATTTAATTACATCATCATGTAATTGAACCCATGCCCGTTACAAACATCAGCTGTCCTAACTGATCCTAAAATTAACTTTGGCTACTTCTATCACAAAATTAACTTTGGCTATGTCTATTACAAATGCCACATTTAGCTACAGTAGAGGTATTTCAAAAATGTATGTCATTGTAGCTGAAAGGACATAATTAATGGTTACTTAACCAGAACTACAGTTTGGAACAAACCACTACAAAGCCTGGTTAACTGTACTAAGAAAATGTCTTCTCAATTAATCAATTTCATTGATTATTGACATCTTATTGTTGTACTTACAGTCACTTGAGTTTCTTAAAAGAGCATACGTTTACTAGCATTTAACCCAATGAAATTGGTGTAAACATTGATCATACTAACACTGTAAATTGTACCAATGTTGAGGAATACCAGATTATTGGACTTTATTAAATTTTGTCTGCATTATGACTTTGCCAGCATGGAAAACACATATAAAGAATCTTTATGTATACATAAGTTATACTGAGTTTATGTGCAGTTTACCAAAATCAGGACCCCTAACCTGGGTTTTCCATAAGAGCCGGTCGCCGGCCAATTTGATTGGCTACTTTGATCATTTGGCCGCCTACACCAATCCAGTTCCGTAATAATGTTCCGTACACGACTACATGTACACGGCAGGCCAGCCTCCTACTTTCACTACACAGCCTACTACTAACAAAACCCTGTCTAACCCCTTCATTACGGAGGTATTACACTTTGTTAAATTTTGTGTCCTGAGCATAGTTTACATGTGAATTGATTCTGATGAAACTCACAACTTATATAAAGAAAATTTTTTGAAAACAATTTCATGGCTATGATTTTTAGCTCACCTGGTCAACTTTTCTTTGAACAACTTCTTCTCAATAAATAATAGTTCAAATGTTTTGATATTTGACTGGTATGTTCCTAGGATGAAGTCCAACAAAGTTTAGGGAAAAAAACAAAGAAAAAATAACTATGACCTATATTCAAGGTCACTGGTAAAATTTTTTAAAACGATTTGAGTAACTCCTTCTCATGTAATAAATGGGTGATCAGAATTTTTCACTCTATCAATATTTCTTTGAATCATCCTAGGGGTTTGATTTAGAGTGGTGTAAGCAGTCAGATATGGGATTACCAAGGCCAGATCTGGTGTTGTTCCTAACACTAGATACTGAAGCAGCTGCGAAAAGGGGCACATTTGGAGGCGAGCGTTATGAACAAACAGATTTTCAAAATAAAGTTATGGGCAATTTTAAGAAACTGAAGGACCCCACATGGAAGGTGAGTATCTCTAATCTTTCTTTATTACCATAGGGATAGAAAGTGAACAGAAAGTGGAGGGTTAAAAAGATTTGATAAATATGTTGGAAAACAACATATTTGCATGTGAAGATAAGAATGAATCAGTTTAAATAACTGCCCGCTATAGTGAAGGAAGTTGGTGCCGAAATGTGATATAAAACAGAGATTGCAAGGAGTTGTCTTTCAAAAATTACTCCTCAACAAAATGACAACACTTGACATTATACACCATTCCAGTGATTAGATAAAATTGATTATCATCATGTAACAAAAAGTTTGATTTTGATGATCAATTGTGATGCTCATAATCGATTAATCAGTAAAATTTAAGAAATATTTGAACTTTTTGGCCATTGTCTGGTTTCATTGTTAATGCGTATAAAAGGGAGAATTTTTGCTATTCATGTCTGATAAATATGGTGGCTGAAGAACTATAAGTCCAAAGGTTCCTACTATCTGTCCACAATTTTAATTTTATTTTGGTCACAGTTGATAGTCAGATGGTAGTCCTTCAACCACAATTTTAAAGAGATTTTATATGGTGGCAGCCATTATAAATATGTTGGAAAGTCAAGTTGTTGGGGATAGAGAGTTGAAATACTTGGTTTACAATGTTTGATTACTTCGACTCTAAAAAGGAATGATACAACTCAAACGGAAAGAATATCAGTAAGACATGGATACTAAAATTTAAAATTATGATTAATTGGCAAAATGACATCGGAAAGATCAACTGATTCCAACCAATTAATCAATGATGTCTGCAATTGATGTCCACCACAAATAACCACAGGTTTAGTTGGGAAAACACTAAGGTCTTAAGTTTTTTAATCATGAAAAATTGTGTACAGTGATATTGTGCTTAGTGTTACAACTGTGTAAAGTGAAAACATTTTTATTACAGGAAATTGATGCTGATCAGAGCATTGAGGATCTGCACAGACAAATCTTGAACCTGGTAACACAAACAATGTTAGCAGTGGAGGAGAAACCGATAAAGAAACTATGGATGCCAGAAAATGACAAAATGGAATAAAAACTGGAAATCATTGGAAAGAGTGATCTTTACATAAATTGTCACTTCTCATACAATCCTAAATGGAGAAATGGACAGGAGGGGGACGGGACACAGAACCATCACTGTAATTCTCCACATTTTTGGTATATAACTTTTGTTTATTCTACATACATATTATCTGTGATTTTTTATGCTAAGAGCATTTTCAATGCTGTTCAGCGTGTTGCTATCGCCCCTGGCCCCGAGTATCAGTACTTCGTTTTCATTGGTTCACAAATCGAAAGTTTACTCCTACTCCATCTGCCGGACATTACCGTAATCATTGGATTATCGCCCCTAAAAGTTGCTGATGCTAGTCATTAAATGAAACAACCTTATCGACATTTTCTTCATTACTTGTTAGAAAATGATTTTGTTAGTGTTGATTCTGTTTGTGATATTGCCCTTGATTTGAGAAGACTATGTATACTTGGATGAGGTTTACATGTGGAAATCCAAATCATCACTGATAATTGTGCCAACAATCCTGACATTCATCTTCCGTGATGGTCCTTGATACCCTTTTCCCTTTATAGTTCATTGGTTGAAAGTCACATGCGTAAGCACTGCTAGCGAAACCTTGTCATTCCCGGTTGATTGTAGTAAAATATTTTTGGGGACATTTTTTGCCTTTATTTTGACCGTTGGCGACCACCCACCAATACATTGCTTTATGCTATCAAACTTGGTTCCCTTGGCTTTACATTTAATCCAAATTAATCGATGACACATTTGCCTAATTAACTAATTAAAAACTATGAATGTTGATTGTCACAAAACATTAAAAATAACTAATTTTTTTAAACAAAAAGGAAAGTTTGAACCATGAACCAAATACCAAAACACTAAAACAGTAAGTATGTATTTTAACACATTATTGATTTTTTAAGCATTTTGTGTGAAAAAACGTCAATTTTTTATGAACAAAAATGTCATTTTGAATATCTTCCATATTCAGTCCATTCAAAATTGTTTACCATGTAGATAGCTTTATCTCTTACCCTCACGCCACCCAAAGATCGAAACATCACCATTTTTGCTTCTTTTTTTTTATGTTGATTATTGACTTTGATGTGTATCACCCCAATGACTTGTTGAACAATAGTGGATATAGGAGACTACCCTGTTACACTCAAAACCTTAATGTATTTCCACTATCATGCATACAAGTAATGCTAACATGTCATTGAATGACCATATCTGTCAATTATAATAAGGATATTAATTACTATATATTATATGACCGATAGTTACCTAAGTGCTTATTTGTAAACATATGACTTCAGAGACTATCAATAGTACATACCAGCTGTTGTATTTGGCAGTTTTGAAATCAGTTGCATTTCCAACTCACATGTAAAGAGGGGATGTATAGCTATCAATGAAAGTGTGCAAGTGTCTGACAGTCTGTAGACATATGTTAAGTGTCTGACGGTCTGTAGACATATGTTAAGTGTCTGACAGTCTGTAGACATATGTGAAAGTGTCTGGGTCTGTAGACATGTGGAAATGTCTGCAGTCTTTAGACATATGGAAGTGTCTGACAGTCTGTAGACATGTGGAAGTGTCTGACAGTCTGTAGACATGTGTATAAGTGTCTGACAGTCTGTAGACGTGTATAAGTTTCTGACAGTCTGTAGACGTGTTAAGTGTCTGACGGTCTGTAGACATATGTTATATGTTAAGTGTCTGACGGTCTGTAGACATATGTTAAGTGTCTGACAGTCTGTAGACATATGTGAAAGTGTCTGGGTCTGTAGACATGTGGAAGTGTCTGCAGTCTGTAGACATATGGCAGTGTCTGACAGTCTGTAGACATGTGGAAGTGTCTGACAGTCTGTAGACATGTGTATAAGTGTCTGACAGTCTGTAGACGTGTATAAGTTTCTGACAGTCTGTAGACATGTGTTAAGTGTCTGACGGTCTGTAGACATATGTTATATGTTAAGTGTCTGACAGTCTGTAGACATATGCTAAGTGTCTAACAGTCTGTAGACATGTTAAGTTAAGTGTTAAGAGTGAGATCATGTGTTGGGTCAAAAAGTCAACAGCGAAGGCCACTACTAAGGTTACTAATTAAAGATAGAATTATAGTATCATATTTTGGCTTCCAGATGATAACTTGTGATAGGGTTGACCAATAGTTTTGTAACTTGTTTAATTATGGGGCTGCTGCACCACCCCGTCTGGATTTTGACTTCTCTTTAGATCACTTTGATTTACTCCAGTTGCCTCTTTGGCTTCAAAATTCAGTCCCATAGCATCATCGACATGTTCTAGAATGACAAAACAGCTGTATGATGAAGTTTAATTCATTGCTTGGTTGTACTGTATCCTCATGTGTATACAATCTTTAAAAGGTTTTTAAGCAAAATATGAGCCCTAAGGTTATGATCTGTTATTAATTCTTACAACAGATGATTTTGTTGTTTTATAGGCACATATGTACGCATTTTTTGTATATTTTGTTTTTAATATAAAAATAAAATGAATATTTAAATTTTTTTGTAGTTTTGTGTTAACATATATTGGTATAAACATATATCGTATTCCAAATGAGAACTGTCCGTATATAAATTAACATCTTTATTAATGTTGAAAATTTCATTTCTTAATAAAAACATCATTATTATAAGGTTGTAAAGAAAAAATGTGTCTTTGCAATTTTTAGCTCACCTAGTATGAAAGACTGATGGGCTTATGCCACGGCACAGTGTCCGTTGCCTTTCTACTTGTAGTCATGAACGAAGGAACAGACATGAGGTCTTGGCCCAATAGGGGAAATGGAAAAAATTCCTCTTGGAATGATTGGATTTTGCCCAAATTTGGTCTGAAGCATGTTGGTTAGCTTAGGCCAGAATGGTTGGTTGGTCCATCTCCGCCCCCGGGAAAAAGAGCAAATTCTTTAAAATTCTACTCCTGTAGAAATCACTCGGTTTTGCGAAAAGTTGATTTTAGCATTAAATTTTGTACTTTGGGTCTCTGCCTCCTGGGATGGGAGGGGCAGGGCTCATTACCAGAATCAGAACAATTTTTTAAAATCCTTCTCCTATAGGAATTACTAGATTCAGTCCAAATTTGACACCCTGGGGCAGGACCCATTGTAGGGAAAAATAGAACATATTTTCCCTCCTTTTGTAGAAACCAGAGGATTCAGTCTGGAGTTGAAGCATGAATGGTTTTGCTGACCCCCTTAGGACAGAGGGCTGCGGCACAATGGGAAAATAGATATGTTGTGTGTTTGGATATTTTGAATTCCTTTTCCTTTAGTTTTGATGAAGCAATTTTAGCCAAGCAAAACCAGGAAAGCAACGCAGACCTATTTTTTTTTAGTTTAAAAAGAAATAAATCCGAAAGTGAGACCCAATATAATAATCAACTTCTGCACCATATTAAGATGTATTTAGAACTCTGCATAATTCCTGTACAAGTGTAATAGCATCCAGCTGAACTGATTTACAGAAGGTTTCAATTGCAAAGTCAATGACATAATATACCTTAAGATATCACAACAGAAATACAGAGCAGGAATATCCCAAATTTTCTATACATAATGTGGATTTCACAAGTGCATGCTTGCAAAGCTGAGAATCTTGCACGAGTATCAAAACTGACAAGATCCTCTATTTGTACTTCTAAGTTATACACTTTAAAAGTTAATGTTAATAAAACATAGTACTGTGTCATCACTTGAGCTCCTTCATGCCACATCAAATCTGGGATTTGTTGCATTATCTTTTATACATAATATTCAAATATCTTGGCAAATAAATTGTCATCCAAAGAACTGCACTGCATTTGTAATCGGGCAAAATATATGTTTGATCTTTCAAGTGCCAAAGTCGAAATACAGAGGTGTTTCCTATATATCTGTATAATTCTTTGTATGTTCAAGATAGGACTTTAACAGAGAGATGGATAGAACTGATCAAGCATTTGGTGTAAGGGTACCTTATTTGTCAATTAAAAATGCCATTGCTGATCGTGAAAATTTGCCTATATAGTGATTGATAAAGGTTAAGTTAGAATCCCTGGTAAAATACGCTACTCGGAGGATGATCATTATGCAGTAAGCAATCTGTTTGAAATCGTATAAATTTTGTTCCTGAATGATATCCATATTTCCCGCACAGTAAACTGATGCTTTGGCGAACTATTGGTTTGTGCTAGCTTAATAAGCTCTATAACACAAGCTACAATGGTCTATGAAAAAGAAACAACTTTTTAACATTACAATATAAAATATTTTTTATTTAAAACTACTAAAACAAAAATTCAACTTCAAAATTCTGCTGTGAAAACAATTTTGACTTTCCCATAGTAAATAAAATAACAAAATTAGAGAGCTGCTTTGAGAAGATGAAACGTTGACATTACACGTTTACAGAGCACAAAATTATTCAGAATTCATTTACACAAACAAAAACTATTCAATATTAGAAATGAATGAACGGATGAAAATGACAGGGAAGAAATGAAGTCATGAAAAATATCTGGCCTTGTTTTGATATTTTGAGTTGAAATATTGGTAAATGATATTATAATGGTGATGCATTTATACAAGTTCAATATATTCTGAAGGATTCATTCATATTGGTTAAAAAAAATATACAAAATAACTGATTAGTTTTGGTCAACTAAAGGCCAAACACAACCTGGCATCCATGATGCAGAAGGGAATAAGTGCTACAGCTTGTATTACAATTATTGAAACAATGAAAATAAACAAAGTTCACTTAATATGGTTAAACAATTGAATCATGCATGCATTCATAAACATAATTTCATCACATATTTTCATTGCTATGTACAATACTTCAAACAACACTATTGATCTACATCAAAACAATACAATGATATTTACAATTATAGCTGCTAGTGTTGAGCTGCCATTTAAAGACATGATTTGCATATCAATATTGATAACATCTTGGTGGAGAAGAAAAATAAAAATAAATCTTTAGAATTAAGTTTCATCTTTCCTGCTTGGTTAGTATTGTAATTTCAACGCAAAATACACAAAATTCTTCCCCATTGCCCTAGTCATTTCAATAGTTATATGAAAACACTATAGGTATGCTGCAATCATGTTGATGCAATGTATAACAAAAAATTTTAAATTCAACAAAAATTTCCAATTTTAGAATTCATTCAGTTGCAGCATTTTTACACTTATCTACCCCTAAAATATCACTGTTCTATTAGAAAGAAAGGAAAAATTGTCCTTGGTTCAATAAGACAATAAATTGATTTTAAAAGTCTATTTTAAAAAAGCAAGCTTTAAACCCGACCACCCCCAGCATTGTTATATCACATTTCCACTTAGAATTTCACCCACATGTTTATTATCAACATAATGCTTTAACAGGTATTCATTTATACTTAACTAAAAAAACATGTTACTGTAAAGTGAAGGCTTAGTAAATAAGTCTGAGAATTCATATGAAAGATACAAAAATAATCTCGAACTTATCTGTACTTTTCTGTAACATTTGTGTGGCAAAGGGAGACAACCCTAAAGCAGTAACACAATGTAATATGTATTTGAATCAAATATGCACCAATAGGATGTTGAAACATGTTAAATTTACAGGTAAACAAACAATATAAACAATACAGATGATGATGTTAAGATTCAATTTTTGTAAATTGTCAATTTAAAGGACAATGAAAAACAGTTCAGTTTTGGTGTACAATTCATAAGCCTAACGATTCATCACATGAATTTGTACAACTCTTGATTCTACACGAGTGTAAACTGATACACAAATTAGAAACTTTACATTCATATACTCAGGAAAATACATTGCATTACATTACATCATTAATATTCAAAATAGCTATGGCAATTAGTAATATGAAAGTAAATTTTCTTATAATCAACTTAATAAAGATTTCAGATTCAATGAACACCAACACTTTATTCTAACTTTCCTCAGACTTTTCTTCATCATTATATTTCCCACAGACTTGTCCTTTACACTACTAATTGTCCTCAACTTGTCCTATATCAGTGTTGTAACCTCTCAATCTTCATCATCATTATATTTTGTCCTTTACACTACTAATTGTCCTCAACTTGTCCTATATCAGTGTTTTAACCTCTCAATCTTCATCATTATAATATTTCCCTCAGACTTGTCCTTTACACTGCTAATAGAGCACCACCATGATCTCGAGTTTCCTCAGATTTCTCTTCCTCTTTTTGGTCAGTTTGTACTTACATATCATATCTAATGAGTTTTCTTCACATTTCACTCATTTTCTTATTGTGTCTATGGCAGTCATGCTTGTTTATTCTTTTCCTAATTCTGTCTTTGTATCTGTTTGAATCTCCTCTTCTGTCTCTTTGTTCGTTGACTTTTCCTGTTTCCTACTTGGCTCTACGTCAAACAGTTTTTCCTCCATCATCTTTATATCACCTGATTTCACCTCTGCTTTTTCCTCCTTGGTTTCCTCTGTAAGCGTTTCTTCATTATCCTCTTGATCATCAATATCAGACTTTACTGACTGACTGTCTTCACTCCCTTGACAACTTGTGGTCGACGATTCTTGTGATCCAAAATGACTGCCAGTTTCATCAGAGTCAAATCCTGAATCACTCTTACCAGACTCCGAGAATTTTTCTGACATCACACTATCCTTGGAAGGGCTTGCCACCTAAAGTGCAAACATGAAAGAAACTTAACTTTCCATTGCCTGTGATAAAGATGTAGCCTACAACAGCAGGGTAGACCTGTCACTGACTCTGAATGTTGACCCTAGTACAAGCACTAAAATGTTCCATTGTGTAAGAGAAGACAGAAAGTCAACTTTACAGACTATACACAGACTCGAGTCACTTCTAACAAGTCCACTACTGATCTGGTTGGTTTGTTACAATAGTTACCAGGGCTCTCACAGCCCATTTTGGGACTGGGGCCCGGGGCCCTTAGAAATGGGAAAATTAATGGTGTTTTCCTTAGAATTGGGAAAACTTCGGGTCTAAATTAGGAAAAAAGATACTATTTTGCATTGGGCCCCAAATCTGGCAGATCGAGAGCCCTGGTAACATTATATAACTGGACAATAGTCTAGTACATGACTGGATCGTCATGCGTTTGATTGAAACTATATAATGCTAAATATGGAGTATAACTTGGAAATTTGTTTTTCTTCACAAAATCATTTTTCTGTCATAACTGCTTATGAAAAGAATAGTTTGGAAAACTATGAAGATCACAGTGACCTACTTTGAGCTAAGTATAACACCTGTTGGTGATGTATATATGCATTTCGAGTGACAATACAATAACTACATTGGACAATAAATTGCTTTAAAAATTAATTGCTGGAATCACTGTACTTGATTTGTTTGTTTTACCTATTACCTAAATGACTGAAAATTTAACATTTATTTGAACCTTTTTGTCAAGGTGAAAGAGTGAACAAGTCCTAAGTAAATGCCTTCACAAGATTGTGTTTGACGAACAACAATAGCAATATATGGTTGTCTTGCCATTTTTATTTACACACCTTATACTGATGTGCCAAATACTTACATCCAAAATTGTCCAGGGAGGTGGGGCTTGACCAGAGCATCTCTTCATTGCAAATTTCCACACAAGAAACCCAGACAGTCCGGTACAACACCATGCTTTCTCCACCTGGTACATACCTGTCAACACAGATAATCAATTACCTGTCAATAAACCTAGTTATAAGCTTTGAAAGTTTAAAACAACAAACAGTATATCCTCACCTTACAGTAGACCCCTATGAGTCAGAAGTTATGTGTTTGCCCCTCAAGTTTATTGCAGTATAAAAACTTAAGATGATATCTTACTTCTTTATAAACAGAAACTCTTCGTGAAAGAACATATTTTGAAAAAAAGCATTTTGATAACATCCCAGTATGTCTAGATAAATTTTTCAATGTTCTCAGACCAACGTCATGTCCAGTTTGACTATTCAAATTATTCATAAGTATTTTATGTAACCAGCAGTGGCAATCAATAAACGCTTGCTGTGAAATGTTATTAAAGAACAATGCACACATTTTATATTTACACATTATTCAGTACATGTATTTTAAAACACTTGCCATTTTCACCATTAAAATTTTCCTTTGTATGCCTCATTCATAACTTGTCAACTTTATGGGGCGTTTCCTGATATTGATGGAAATTGTTATCACTTTTTGGCAACTCTTACCCTTGTTGCTATTTCAATTACCATTTTTGTTTGCAAGCGCTTCAAACAGGACACACCATTGTTGACAATATGTTATTCAAATTGAGGGAAAATGTCACTTTTTATTAATTTCAGCAAATTTCATGCTGAATGGCTACTCTGTACTCTACATACAAAAAACTAGTGAAAATGTCTTCCCTTGGAAACTTTCATCAATGTCAAAATATGCATCCAAGAAATGATGATGGAGGTAAATTCCAGCTCTAACTACAACATATGAACAGGCAGTGAAAAGTGTTCAATAATTATTCCCTACAAAAACATGAATAAAACATATCTGTACAATTTTCTATAGTGTCATGTATACAAACTAACCATCGTATCGGTATCCCTCCTCGGGGGCGAAAGGACTTTTGAGCTTGTATCCACGGATCACACGGACAGGGTGACCACTAGTTACATTTCGGCTTAATGCCAAGTTTCCCCGTGTCAACTCTTGGTCTTTTGACTGAGCTGCAGTCCGCAGGTTCTACAAGATAAAAGGTAAACTGTAATTGTAAACAGAAATTTGGTATTTGCTGTGGTGAGGACTGATTAGCCCTTCAAAACAATTGAGTTGAGTGTCAGACTTCCGAGTCAAGGCGTGATGGCACCGTAGAATTGTTCCCACTGTCTTCATAATACTGTTGCCCAGACATAAATCCCCCAACAAATTAACAGCCTGTTATATATAATGTAAATGTAGCTTTATTGAAAGTCTAACCTGGAAAATAGAGGTATTCACAACTTCCATTGCATATGGTAGTGTAGTTCATCTGGATTCATGTATAACTTTGAGCTTTGCTAACTGAAGCTAACATAAAGTCTTGAAAAGTAGGATGTTTGAACTGGGCCAACACTACATGATTTTAGATCATAGTGGTTGGGGAGCATTATTGTTCTTATATACATTGCACACTGACATTGTAGATGATACCTTTGGATTTGCTTTAGTTCCCTTCAGGTCTCTTCCTCCTAAAAACAAAATATTTATTGGATTACTCTCTTGATTACATTTACTTTCAATACAACATTTATACCATTACAGATTTGCTTTGGAGTCATTTAAAGAAATGCTTGATACAAAACAAGTAAGTAAAGCCCTCCCCAAGGTCCTGTTTGACCCACTCACAAGTGTAGCCCTCCCCATCCCTAGTTTCCTTGTTGATGTTTATCCTTCCCAGTGTAAATATAGCCTCTGAAAGGTCCATATTATATCTACCCTATTCCCAGTGTCATTGAAACCCCTTGTCCCAGTGTAGATATAGCCTCTGAAAGGTCCATATTATATCTACCCTATTCCCAGTGTCATTGAAACCCCTTGTCCCAGTGTAGATAAGTTCTCCCAAAGGTCCATATTATATCTACCCTATTCCCAGTGTCATTGAAACCCCTTGTCCCAGTGTAGATAAGTTCTCCCAAAGGTCCATATTATATCTACCCTATTCCCAGTGTCATTGAAACCCCTTGTCCCAGTGTAGATAAGTTCTCCCAAAGGTCCATATTATATCTACCCTATTCCCAGTGTCATTGAAACCCCTTGTCCCAGTGTAGATAAGTTCTCCCAAAGGTCCATATTATATCTACCCTATTCCCAGTGTCATTGAAATCCCTTGTCCCAGCGTAGATAAGTTCTCCCAAAGGTCCATATTATATCTGCCCTATTCCCAGTGTCATTGAAACCCCTTGTCCCAGTGTAGATAAGTTCTCCCAAAGGTCCATATTATATCTACCCTATTCCCAGTGTCATTGAAACCCTCTCCCAAAGGTCCATATTATATCTACCCTATTCCCAGTGTCATTGAAACCCCTTGTCCCAGTGTAGATAAGTTCTCCCAAAGGTCCATATTATATCTACCCTATTCCCAGTGTCATTGAAACCCCTTGTCCCAGTGTAGATAAGTTCTCCCAAAAGTCCATATCATATCTACCCTATTCCCAGTGTCATTGAAACCCCTTGTCCCAGTGTAGATAAGTTCTCCCAAAGGTCCATATTATATCTACCCTATTCCCAGTGTCATTGAAACCCCTTGTCCAAGTGTAGATGAAGTTCTCCCTAAGATCCATACTCATATCTAGCTTACCCCAATGTGATTGAAACCTCTAGTCCCTGTAAAGATGGAGTCCTTCCCAAGGTCCTTGTTGACACTCACTCTCTCTAGTGTAGGTGAAGCCCTTCCCAAGGCCCATCATGTCACTTACCTTCCCCAGTGTAGGTGAAGCCCTCTCCAAGGCCCACCATGTCACTTACTTTCCCCATTGTAGGTGAAGCCCTTCCCAAGGCCCATCATGTCACTTACCTTCCCCAGTGTAGGTGAAGCCCTCTCCAAGGCCCACCATGTCACTTACTTTCCCCAGTGTAGGTGAAGCCCTTCCCAAGGCCCATCGTGTCACTTACCTTCCCCAGTGTAGGTGAAGTCCTACCTAAGGCCCATCGTGTCACTTACCTTCCCCAGTGTAGGTGAAGCCCTCTCCAAGGTCCACATTATCATCATAGCCCCCAGAAAGAGCAATGGAATAAGCCCCTTCTGGTCCAGCATGGATCCCAGCCACAGTTGGTCTGTACTCAACATAAATGTTACAGGTGCATGTTAACATCATTGGCTTAATAACTGTACAGAAAAGTCCATCACTTTGTATAGTATTAGGGAGTGAAACAGACAGGTCAGTCACCTTGTATATTTGAGTCTAATTTTGACCACCACACTTTCAACACAACTGTCGTCTTCAAGTTTTTCACAGTAGCACACATTTTGTTCCTCAACAAAGGAAGTGTCTTTCAAAGTACAGTTTACCTTAAACCAACTTTCTGTCACTGCTACCAACTTTCCCAAATCAAGTAATACAGCAAGTGTGCAGCATATCACTTATCAGACTCTGAACCATTGTAAAATGGTCATCATTTATACCCTGCAGGGAACACCATCTCTGATTGCTAATTTGGCTACTACAGGTGAACTTTCTCCTGATCATGGTCACTTTATGACCTGACCATAGACTGAAACAGATTTTGGCACTTCCTTAGCAGGGAACATGGTACAATTCCCCTCAACAAATAATCGAGTCTAACTTCCATATCAATAGCTGTCATTTGCCTCTGCTTCAATAACAGTATGAAGGTTTATCACAGTTATTTAAAAGCTTGCATGTGACCATGTTATTGAGGCAAAACATTCAAGTGATCTTGACCCTAGAGTTAACAACATCAACTCCACAAAGTCAAACATTCCAAGGAATAAATAGTCAACAACAATAACAGATTGACGAAATATTCTTCAGCTGTTGTACATGTAGACCGAAGATAAAAAAGAGCTTATAGGAACAAAAATAATTACAGAATCACAAATCAATGGAGTTTTACTGTGAAAATCGGTGTGCATTATCCATGTTTGAAGTACTGGAAATCTTGCTTTCATACATGAGAGAAAGTTGGTATTCAGTGAAATATATAAAACCATTATCAGAGAAATTGTAAAACAAACCAATATCATCTTCATCATCAGGATTTACAGGAATATACTTTACCTGTGTACACCAGCTCTGCAAGCCTCCATGCGAGTCTCCCACACTGTTCCTACTTCCACACCTGAAACATTATCCAAATAAACATTTCATTTTGAAGCAGTGACCAATCTAAGATTTCACGAGATCTTATATTTTATAGCTAAAAAATGGGTCTTCGGGGAATAGTACTGTGCTATGTGCCCTCTCCTTGGAGGTTAGTGCTGGTGTTTTGTGCTCTACTTGGAGGTTAATGGTGTTATGTGCCCTCTCCTTGGAGGTTAGTGCTGGTGTTTTGTGCTCTACTTGGAGGTTAATGCTGGTGTTATGTGCCCTCTCCTTGGGGGTTAGTGCTGGTGTTTTGTGCTCTACTTGGAGGTTAATGCTGGTGTTATGTGCCCTCTCCTTGGGGGTTAGTGCTGGTGTTTTGTGTCCTCTACTTTGAGGGTAGTGTTGGTGTTGTGTGCCCTCTCCTTGAAGCCTAGTGCTGATGTACTAATGTTATTTGCCCTCGCCTAGGGGAATAGTGCTAAGTGCCCTCTCCATGTAGGGTAGAACTGACATTATGTGCCATCTCCTTGGAGGATGGGCAAACATAATCATACATAATCTTGTACTGTTATCATTGCTTACCATCCACATGCCCATAAAAATTGGGTCTGTTTTTATCAACAGGGTGATGTCTGTACTTGGACTCCGACTCATCCCATTCTTCCAACTCCTCCTTGAGTTCTTCCTTGGTTGGAATATCCTGGATACAGTAAGATAAGTTAGGAATGAGTGTTATACTAACTTCCTGGTTACAATGTGTGTGTCACTTCAATATTGCCTTCATACAAAATTTGTATGCTAAGAATCTTATTTGAAATCCTGAGATAAAATATATAAAAGATAACACATAACATAATACATAACATAATACATAACAAAAGACATATTCAACTGAACTAAGGATTTTCAAGCATAAATTAACTTCAACAGATGAACAAATAAAGTATGTAGTGGAAACAAAACTGTACTTAGCACACCATAATTTTACTCTACCTACATATACTATACTGTATGTAAACCAAGACATGACTTTACCTTAAATGAATCACTTGTTCACAAAAAAAAGTATTAAATCTGATATAATGCTCTCAAAAAATAGAATATTTTCCTTTCAATTTGTCTGCTTTTCTTAAATGTTAGTGAGAAATTGCATTACAAGGCCACAGTTTTATTAATCACAAATCAAATTATTCCAATCACTGAATTTACACAATTATCTCCAGGAATACAGCACACTTGTAAATTTAGTCCTTTCAAACCATGATAGAAATGTTAAAACACCATGAAAAGTAAAAAATGGAAGTTCTGAGGTCAATTTACTGTATCTTTAATTGTTCATGCTACTATAGTTGAATTTACATATGTTCCCACACTGCAGTGCTAACCATTACAAACAACATATCAGAAAGCACAATAGAGGATTGGAAAACGGGAATAACCTGGAAAGTCAGCCAGTGAAAACTACGCTGTTGTAAACAATGTTACAATGTAAACAATGTTATAGGAATGTTGACAACACAACAATGTATCTTTTCATGAGTACACTAATGAGCTGTTGACTTGGAAGCAGCGTTTACTCCCATATGTATCTCAGATGTATGTTTATATACATACTCGATACTCCAGGGATTATGCTCACTATCGCTCTCTACATCCCAGGAACAAATAATGGCAAAATTGACAGTTCCATGTATGACATCTTATGGACAAGACTAGTTTGATCCTTTCATGGGTATCAAATGAATCTTGATGTCATATAATGTATGTTGTAACAGTTTGGAAGTTGGGTGTCTCTCCTTTGTCATCTTCAAAGGAGTGTATTGGTCAGTGATTGGTCAAGTTTTTTCTCCTGGAACTCGCTCTAAACCAGTCAAATTAGTCTGTGTGTACCTTCATTTTTGCTATGACACGTTCCATGGGTGCAGAGAACAATATAGTGAGCTTAACCATTGGTGTATAGAGTATGGTGTATCTATTTATAGCGCCATTGAAAAGAGACAATAGCTTGTCATCTCTATCAATGAGTGAAAAATATTAAAAGTTAAAAGGTTTTTTCTTTTTGTATTTTGTAAAAAATTACATAATTTAGTATATAACATGTAATTATTATTAATTATTTGTTCAAACATTTTTTTTTCACCTGCGTTTAATACCCATGTATTGCTCCACTCATAGACCTAGCAGACTAAACTGTGTATCGATAAGAAACCATTATCTTCATGCTTCTGAGCATGTTTATCTAAAATATTAAACATTGTACATATAAGATTACCCGTTATATCAATAATCAGGGTTTTCCATAACTTTGTTAGTAGTAGGCTGTGTAGTGAAAGTAGGAGGCTGTCCTGCCGTGGAAAACCCTGAATAATATTCAGTATATGAAATTGTAAACAGTCACTAACATTGGACATCATTACCTTTCCTTGAAGGCGGGCTGATTTCCTTCTACTTCCTCTAAGGGAACCAATGTTTTCTAAATCTTCTACAATTCTTTTTTTGACTGGACGAGCAGGATAATCTTCTGTTTTTCTTTTGTTAGTTCTGTTAAACACACCCTTACTGAGGGACACCTTTGGCAACCCTTTGAACTGTAAAATAAACAAAATTCAATCAAAGGAATACTTTCTTTTTGTGCAACTTTAACCTAGAATACCTCATTTTCCTAGAATGAATATAATGGGCCATTGGCATCTGTATTACACACATGAAATTTGTTTTTGCTGAAACAATAGAAAAAACAAAGGAATCAAAGATCAATTATGAAAATTACAATCAATCAATCATCGCATCAGATGAAATGAAGTTTGGTGAGGACCCCTTGAGGAATGTTGTGGCTGGAACACTGAAAATCTGTGTCACAGAATTAAGTTTTTCCTGTCCAAAACTGCTTTAAAATTATGGAGGAAAAAATCTCCTCACAAATGATAGGCAGTTCATAAATGCAACAGGCTACATAAATGTGTATGAATATTGTCACAAGTATTAAAATTGCATCAAAATTAATTAATGCCAGGCAACAAAGGTAAAATGCATATATAGCACACAAAAAAAATAAACACTTTGAAAAAAAAAAAAAATACGAATATAGTGTTCCATACTAATGTACATAATTAAGTTTTAAATATCCATTACTGAGGTACACCTACAATTCACACCCCACACTTATGAATCAAAATCAAGAGAAAGTGTGATCTCCAACATATATGTCGTTTGGAGACAACTGCAATGCACATTGGTGTAGTTCAGAACTCATCTGCATTGACACAATCTTCTTTGTTTCAGTCATGGATATTTTTTAATTAAGTAAGAGAATCAATATTTGTATATCTGTGTTTAATGATGTGTGGTGTATAGAGTTGTATATGGTAGCTAGGGGTATGCCTTTCTGGGATTCCTCCTCAAGACTCATTTACATCAGACTTTTGACAATGTCCCTCGTAAGCCCATGATACTCATTTCAGTTTATATCGGACGTTTGACGATGTCACTCGACGAGTGACATTGTCAAACGTCCGATTTAAATGAGTCCCAAGGAGGAATCCCTTAAGTATTAATGGTAGGGGTTGTATGTGGTAGTAAGGTGGGGAGGGGGAATTAAAAGGCGCATATAAGCAGCAGCACACGTGTTCATTTTTTGGCATCCATTTCTGTGTCATTTTATTTCTTATGCAGCAGCACATCAAAAATAGGAAAGACATTTGATCATGGAATAAGAAAACGCCCAACTTGCTGACCCAGCATCTCGTACGTACATCTTAATAGAATTCGCATGGTTATAAACTGCAAAAATAGAGAAAATATACATAATATCGACACTAGGTTAAACCTACCGGGTTTGCTAACCCGATCTCTGCCAAGATCCTCCTGTTGTCGTCTAAATTCTTCTGTCGTAATTTTTCGTACTGTGTTGCCATCTTGATTTACTGTTGTGATGAACGCTAACCACGCTGTTATTTCCCGCCGTTTAATCACATGACTGTCGCGTGACCTTGCGGAACATTTTTAAATTGGTGTTTTATATGAGGTAGAGTCCAAAAACTTACGAATGTCAAAATCATGTGACTGTACTTAGATCATGTGATATTACAAGATGGCAGACGTAAGCAAGGCAGCGGTGTTGTTAATAGTGTGCAGCTTTTGCACAATACATGCATATATTCCAAAGTTCCACCGTGGAAGACCGAAAGGTGGGATGCTTGGCAGACCCAATGTTAAGTCCAATCATGCACTTCCTCCTGATATGTGGGTTACACAAAGATTAGATCACTTCAATGATGCTGATACATCGACATGGCAACAGGTGAAAACTTAAAATTGTGTTAAAAATATAAGGTAATCGATCACATACCGATATAAATAGGCGCAATGAAAAGTCAGGATATTCGGACTGATGTGGTATTATATTTCTATTATTACATGTCAAATTGTTTGCAATATTCATATGCTTCATTCAAACAGACGTATATAACAGGTACTAAATGTATATCTCTGTACATGCACAGATAAGGATATTTGCTGATGTGTGAATAAGCTATATATACATGCCCCATTTTTCTGAGACCACATTACAATGGAGGCCAAATCTGCCATACTTTGAATCAAGTTTTTGTCTCATGGTTTGACAGTCCTGCCTCCCATCATATACTACCAAAATATTTGTATAATTTCACATAAAGAACATCCAATTCCTGTGACTTTTCAAAGAAACTGTATCAGATGAGGTAAATAGAATTTTACTTATCTTTCAAAGATATAAGATGAAATTAAAAAAAAAACAAATCACCAAATTATCATGTATCTCTTGCTTTCCCCAAAGTGTTGGATATGTCTGCTTATAATATCAGAAATAGAGATGAATACCAAACACCCCACTAACGTGACTGACGTGTCACACTGTGTCGTCTTTTATACCCAACACCTGTAATTTATAGAAAAGCTTTCCTCTGGAAAGAAAGAAATTGCACTACTTTACAGCAGTTTTTTTAAATATCTTTTAAACAAAATAAAATACCCTCAGGTGAAAGAGTGTTTAAAGAGTACAGAGGAAGGAAAGTGAACATTGCATTGTTGTATATGTAATAATGTAAGTAATTTTTAATTAAGATTTATTTTCTGTCAATTTAAATGACATTTCATTCTGTCAATGTGGTCATAATATGGAGGACACCAAAAAATTAAAAACCTTTTCTTTTTTGTTGTCCAATATACAAAGAAGTACAATGTATAAACATTTAATACAGTACCAATATTACATATGACAGCCTTTTTTTATGGTGATGATTATTAAGATTTTGAATTAGATAAAGCTATTAATATGCATGTTCAAAACTTTATTGTTGATAGTAGATAATTTGCATAAGTACAAGTCAATATAAAGATTCCTTTTTCATTTTACCGTTTCTTCTTCTGTTCTAATACCTTGTAAAATATATCATGTACTGTAAAGTCATTGATAATTTTTTAAAACTGTATACAGGTAATTGTATTATGGAGATTTTGGACGATGGACTTCGATAAGTTGTGATAACTTTGTTTCCGATCCTTTTGCATATTGTCTTTGCAAAAAAATTGGTCTAAATTTCAAATAATTTGAAAAAAAATAATTTGTTTATCATATGAAATCTGTTTCAGAGATATTTTGTTAATGATACATTCTACAAAAAAGGTGGTCCAGTATTTGTGATGATTGGTGGAGAAGGAACAGCTGATCCGATTTGGATGGTTGAAGGTGCATGGATAGATTATGCCCAAAAATTCAATGCTTTTTGCCTTCAACTGGAGCATCGCTATTATGGGAAAAGCCATCCAACAAAGTATGTGAAATACATAAATGATTGTATTTATAATCAAAATGTCCTTAATACAAATTACTGATGTACAAAAGAGATCCACTATAGAAACAAACTTATTAATAGGTTAGATTTTATATCGTAGGTCACAATCATGAATTTGTGTTTGAAACATGTAATAATTATAACTCTACATTTAAAGAGTGAACTGTCTGTCTGTCTTGTAAATATTTGAATGATTCAAAATTGTTCACCATCATTAGAAGTTGCAGTTTCTTAATCTTGGTCAAATGTACAAGATTTTAAAGAAATGTCACATCACCGGAGAATTAACTTACACATATGATGAATAGCTTGTTGGTATTTCAGAGATATGGGGACAGGCAATTTGATATTTTTAAGCAGTGAGCAGGCTTTAGCAGATTTGGCTTACTTCATAACATATGCAAAGCAGAAGTTTGGTTTAGAAGAAAGCAAGCTAATTACATTTGGAGGCTCATATCCAGGTACTTCATAAAAGTTCATAATTACTATAAGATAAGATACATCCCTTCAAGATTACCAAGGATTATAGTTATTTCTAAAGTTTATTCAATAGATTGGGAAATTTGGATTCTTTCATATCTTTTTTTTCTTTTAAATATATGGCATAGATGAATAAACAAGATGTGAGAGGTCATGATATTGACCTTCTGATACCAGCCATTAAAAAGTACAAAATCATGATTATTTTACACTTCCCTATACACCTACCTGGAGATTAATATGAACAAGATTTTATGTAGACTAAATGTCGCTATTGCCAGGTTCCCTGTCGGCATGGTTCAGATTGAAGTATCCTCACTTGGTAGATGGAGCTGTTGCCTCTAGTGCTCCTATCAAAGCTGTGCTTAACTTTTATGGTAAGTTTTACCCTTTGGGTAATTACTTCAGTTACATTAGTAACAGCATCTCAAACTGGTAGTCTGAAGTCATGTAACTTTATGTAATTTTCTTACAAATGTGAAAATGATTCTAAAACAAGACTCATGATAAAAAAAGTTCCTCCCTTTTAATCTCAGCAAGTGTACCCTGGTATCTCTTCCTGATTCCTTGTGGCTATTTCTATTTTCCTGTGCCACATCTTCCTTTGGTCTGTCTCCAGATCTACATTCATTAAATTAGATATGTTATTTAATCAATGTAAACAAAATGTCCATCTTGTTATTCAGAAAACAAATTTTGCATAATATGCTTAGCTATATATAGAAATTTTATACAAATTGACCTTAATCAACAACATTTAAAGATATTTTCTTTTTTGTGTGTAGAGTATCTTGGAGTGGTGACCAACTCCTTAGCAACCACTGGTCAGAGCTGTAATAAAAATGTGGCTGCAGCTACAGATGACCTGGCGAGTAAGCTGCAGACAGCAGCAGGCCATACAGCACTAAAGACTATGTTCAAGTAAGTCAGTTGTTGTAGGCTGATGTTCTGTTTTCACTGTTGTTTTATGATGCCACCTGAAGATGGCTTTTCTGAATAGTTAACCTAGGTATGATTTATCACTGCAATCTGAAAGTTTAAAAACCTGGTATAACAGAAAGATTAAATTCTATTTCGATATTTTTCTGGAATGTCATACATTACTGTAATAAAACCTAGGCTTGTTATGCAAATAAGAAATAACAGATAAGCACATAAATAAACTTTATTATCCTCCATCCGTTGAAGGTTAGTATCAACAGTCTCCATCCATTTTGTTTCTGAAGCATATCTCCAAAACCATTCAAGATAACATAGCGCTTTCTACACTTATCCATTAAATAGCCTAGAAGTGCATTCTGCTATTGAGGATTTTCCAGTTTGGATATTTTTATTGGTTAACATGGAAACAAAGAGTTAAAATCCCTGAGTTAAGAATTTTAAGAGTATATCGGCAAGATCCTTTCAAATAATTCTTGGAAACTTAATACAGATATTAATGAATGTTCAAGTATACTTGTAGTGCCTTTTGCTGTAGAAGAGATTTCATTTTGGATATTACATTGGTATTGGTAACATTTCAGAAACAATCTCTTGAAGATATTAAGAAATTTGATTACCATTGTTGTTCCATCTCTCAGACTGACTATTACCTTTAAACATGGTATTAAATGACTGGACTCCCATGGCAGGGGATCTGAATGACTATATCCTTGTTTATTTAGCTGTATATATGATGACCTAGATTCTAATTTTCTATTTGTCAGTATGTGTGATGACCTTGACCCCAGTGACCCAGACTACAAATTAGATGTTGCAAACTTAGTGAGCAGTTTGGTGGGCAATTTTGAGGGTGTTGTACAGTACAACAAAGACAACAGGGCATTCGAGGTGGGTATATGCTAAAAGTTTTTATTGATTTTACAAAATTGGTCAAAAGATTGATATTGTTTATAGACACAAGCACATTTGCTATTACTGATACTATTTTTATGGATAACATGAGGGAAATTTACACTAAATTCATGGCCATGAATCTCCTCCATGCATATGATTTTGTGAAATACATTGTATTGGAGAAAAAAGTACCGTATATGAAGATATGTTGGTAATGAAAGTTACCATCATGTGTAACATTACTATTGAAATTGTGAAATTTTGCCCTTTCAAAGTTAAATATGTTTCTATGTAGGGTGCAGTGGCTACAAATATAACAGTAGACACACTCTGTGAAGTGATGAATGACGCATCTGTAGGAGACCCCCTGAACAGGTACGCTAAAGTGAACGAGATGATCCTCACTGCATACTCAGAAAAATGTTTGGATTATAAGTACAGAGCCATGATAGAAGATCTTCAAAAGACATCGTGGAATAGCAGTGCTGGAGAAGGTGGTAAGAATGGCATCCATATTCAATTGAGATTTTGATTTATTCAAGCATTTCAGAGTCAAAGTATTCTGAAGAAGCCAATGAAAGAGATGAAACTGGTTGATAAACAGTTAATAGATTTGATTAATCTAAACTGATGCTTTTGTAATTGATACTGATTATTCTTTACTAATCACAGAGCCTGCATACTTTTTGATATTATCAACTAAAGGTTAAACAACCCCTTAATCCAATCGAGCGTAAAAGACTTGACTCTCCTCCCTATACCTTGTAATTTACATCAGATTTATTTGTTCTGATAGAAATTTCAAAACATAAATAATGAAACTTACATAACGAAAAAAAAGTGGAATAATTTCAGTTGAATCTAGTCACATTCAGAATCAATTTTATTACTCAATCAAACTTTATGTAAAAGTCAATTATGACCTCAGATGACTTCAGTTCCATATTCCAAGATCACAGTTATCCCTCAGTCATTGAGACCGCAAGTATTACAGGTGTTTTCTAGGTTATCAAATAGCACTTTGTTAAACTTCAGATAATTCTTTTGTCACACAGGTCGACAGTGGACTTACCAAACCTGTACTGAGTTTGCTTTCTTCCAGTCTTCTGACTTGAGCAATAAAACTCAACCATTTGGAAGCTTCTTCCCTCTAAAGTAAGTATAGAGGTAACTATTCATAAATGATTGCTAGAATGGAATAAAATAAACTCTTATTGTGCAATTTAATATAATTTTTCTACTATCTTTTATACTGTATAACAGTATGATATTGTTTTCCATTCAGTTTCTCAATACAGCAGTGTATTGATATCTTTGGGGCCAAGTTTAATCGTGACCTGATCCAGAGTGGAGTTAATCGAACAAACACAAATTATGGAGGAGAATCTCTAAAGGTCACCAAGGTTGCCTTTCCTAATGGATCAATTGACCCCTGGCATGCTCTTGGCATCGTTGACGATTCCGTGGCAGGATCAACAGCTATTTATATTGACGGTAGGTTTCAGCGAAAGTCTTTGGTTCACATTACAACATTTAATTCTTTAAGATGATAATTATGGACTTCCCTCACACAGTTTTTGGGTGTTTGAGATATGAAATGGGAAGGGAGCGAGGTTAGGGCAGGTCTAGAAAGTTTCCATGTTTATTGTGAGTAAAGAAAGCTCCTTTTTGTGATCAATACTGTATTTGCATCAGTTCATATATGGAGGGTTTTATTTTATATCTTTTGATAACATCCTATTAACAGCTATGATGATTTTAGAAAGGCCTCCCTGTGTATGCTATAGGAGTGTACCAGTTTGTCTTGAATGCCTTTGTTTCAGAAGACTGTAATATGTTTGTGTAAGCCTCCTTGTGATAGTGTGAAACTAAAACTGATTTTATATTGCACCATACTGAAGTATGCTGCCCAAAGCAACCAGCTGGACACAACACCCAGTCATGTCATGTTGACAATGGACAAACCAGTCCTAACTGTATTTTCATAATGCTGAACATTATGGAGGCAATAGTAACTATCAGTATCATCAGATGGTCGGCTATTTAAATCACCCTTTGTCGTATGTCTTCTGTCCATAAACAATTCTTTTAATTGCTATTTCTTGAGAACTTCATGGATATGATTTTAAATTTGTATCATTATTTCACCAGGAACGGCTCATTGTGCCAACATGTATCCAAGTACAGATTCTGACCCCGCTGAACTCACCAAAGCAAGGCAGGTGATCACAGGACTTATCTCAGCTTGGATCTCCAAGTAGTCACAAGTGCTCAGTTGAATCAAACAATTTCAAAGGTGAAACAACAATTTGCCTTATGATACATTTTTGTAAATCAATTGATACTTACATAACTTTTTGCAAGGAATACTTTCTAAAAGTTTATTCCACAGGAAACTGTATTTGTACGTACAAATATACATTTATAAAGTAGAGGTATTGAAATAATACATGATTAAAAGAGATTTCTAAAGTTACAATCAAGTGCCAGTTTTGGTTTCAAGGTTTTTTTAATTTCGAGCTATGATTTAAATATTAGCAATAGTTTGTGATTGAAGAATACATGATTATGTCATACAGATTTGATGGACTCAGAACATTGATACTGCAACAACAGTTCTATAATTCATTGACTTAACAGGGTGCTGATGTTTCATTCTCCGATGCATTAAAAACTGATCTCAACAAATTCAGGTTCAGCTATCTTGGGAAGGACATGTGAAGATATTGATATTTTTTCATTTTTTTTTCAACGGCTTTTATAAAAATAATTGTGTAAATAGTGTATTGTATTGCATTTTTGTTGCTTTTGTTTTTTGCTGTACTGAATAATGAATAGTAAACAAATATTAATAATCATATTAAGAGGAAGATGTCTCCTTGAAACTAGTTATCCTTCAAATGATTCCAGGATAAGGTATTGGGTACCTGTCCAGGCTTTGATACCATAAATTTATGAAGGGAAAATGATTGACCAGAATCTGTCTAGCTTTCTTCATTTACAGACATTCCTTATCTTATGTTTCTGTACGAGTCAAGTTTAACCTCAACTTCAACAAAACTTTGTTCATATTATTTTATAAATGTTTATGATACTGGAGGCAGTGCTCAAAGAGTGCCATATGAAATTGATGACTTTCATTTACCTGCTGACCATAGTCTTTCACAATTTGAATTTTTGCCATATTATCATAATGTGTGCTATAAGTTGAATTAAGATTGTTTTGTATTTAAATGTGAAAGAAATTAATTTGTAAAATTATTTTTCAATAAAATCAATATTACTTTGAAATGCTTTGTCAGTTGTCTTTTATAAGATGTTCAAGACATGTTTTTGTGAACTAAAGCATATCTGCCCTTATTTGCCAAGAACGTGTATTGTGTATTGGAACTTGTAGAGTCATAGATAATGCTACTCCTTATTCAATTTCTCATCATTTTTATATATCATGATAAATTTCTTAACTTGAATGTTATGTATGTTTGATCGACTTTGCTTAATCATGTAATGAAAATTTCTACTTGAGCCAGGAAAGATTACAATATTTGACCTTGACCTCTGAGCCGATAGCCTCAAAAAAAATTATAATCAAGTGAGTTGCCAGCAGTCCAGTTTAACCTCAACTTCAACAAAACTTTGTTCATTTTCTTTTTTATAAATGATCATTATACTGTCTTTCACAATTTGAATTGTTACCACATTATCATAATGTGTGCTATAAATTGATATAAGATTGTTTGATTCTGGTCATCTTTGATTCCTTAAATTTTAACAAAATTCACTTGAAGAAACATTTTGTAAGCTTCTTAATGACCACAGCTTTCAGCCAAAGTCACAATGACTTGACATTATTGTACTGAATAATATTGATGTACAAGAAGATATAAATTTCCATAGGATGTCTTCGTTCAAAAGCCATAGGTTGTTAAACAAAATAATGCTCTTATTTGACCTTTAACCTTGAATTGATGGTCGAAGTGACCCATTATCTGTGCACTCGAAAGTCCTGTGGGTAATGATGGTACTAAGGTATTTTTTCAGCTTCATTAATATAACTTTAAAAATGTTCAATGGATATAAAATCCACTTGACATAGTGATGAATGGATATCTGCACACTACTGGTAGTAGTACAGTTTCTTGGTGTGGCAAAATGAATCCTTGCTAAAATTGGTCTTGTAATGTTGAAATGGACCAAGTGGGGTTTCATAATTTTCACAATACTATTTTTACATGGTGTTAGAGATTACTATTTGCGCAGTCACAGTCTAAACTCTGTGTCTACATACCAAAACCTAGCCTTACAAGAAGTGAAATTCTTATAGTGTTTACATGTGGTCATGTTGTGAAGGCATTCCTAGTTGGAATTTGCTGAAATGTATGTAGTTTGTTACCATGACAGTGTTGTTGCTTTTAAGACAGGTGTTCACAAATAAATTTCTTCTATAAAGTTGTAGTGTTAGGTTTGCATTTTTGAGTTGGTTTGAGATGGCAAACACATCAGAAAGCAGAGGAAATACTTGATTAACACTATTTTCATTTCTTTATTACTAATGTAATTATGTAGTTTATAAATATATACATATAAGGATGTATTTTTCATAACCAAACTGCTATACCTGTATATTTCAAACATGACTAATAATTTAAGGAAAAATGCAAATCAACTGTTTCCTACTATTTCTAGTGGCTTTAAATTAGGGAGTTCCCCTCCCAGGCCAATGACATTATGTCATGCCAGCATGTTACCCAGCATTAGATAACAATATTACACCTATTGCACCCAGAAAGGAAAGAGGAAAATATTCATTCACCCTCTTCAGTGCTCACTGCAGTGTGAAAGATTTTAAACCTGATGTAAAATCATACATTTTGATGGGGCACAAATTTCATTGGTTTTCTTAAAAAATACATTTCATTGATATTTGATTTCATTGGTAAATTCAAGCGTGTTGTTTACATTTCAAGTCCAAATTTTGCAGATATTCTATTAATTTCTTGATATCGATCTGAAGACGATGACCTATGACATTTGAACACCATGGGTTGGGGAAGTGGGAAGGTTACTATTTAGAAATGGTATTCACAAGCAATAAATCAGAATCAATGCTAAGCATAAAGAATCTGTCCCTGTTGATGTGTTCTGGGAAAAGATCAAGGTAAGTGAATGATGTAGATGAGCTGTGTTGTTGATATTCAGTTCTATAAGGACATGGTCAATAAATCTTGTTAGCCAAAGACATCACCATTATCTAAAGGTAACATTGAATGACTTGATAGCGGTTTTTTTTTTTACATGTTTTGATGGCCTTTTTGGTAAATTCAGCCTTGTTAATGGTTATTTCAGCAATTTTAAAGTGCATTTAAAAATAGATCAACTAGTATTTTTTTTTCGTAGTAAATAGAAAATATTGATGTTAGATATACATATAGTTAGGTTCAATGTTTATTGTTCTTTTATCATTAATTTAATTTGAAGCAGCAATTAGATTTCGAATATAGAATATAAGTTTGTACAAAACAAAACACAGGGTTTATCATATAAAACAAAGTATATTGAACAAAAATCGCATGTTTTGTACTATAAATCAAAAATTCTTTTTTTCAAGTAAACATCACAATTATTACAACATAACACAACATTTAGGATAAGAAACAAGATATGGAATAAACAATAGCTTGAACATTTATATTCTTACAAGATGTTAGAATATCAAAACTTTTTGCAAATCTTAACCTTTATTATAATAAAAAACAATTTTTGTCTCACAGTAATTTGATAACCTGCTTGAAAGAGACGATATATTGAATATCTATACATTATCTCCGGGAAATGGAACCGCCAGAGTTGTTTTACACAGGGTTTCATTGTAGTAGCCCGTGGCTACACCACTGAACAACATTATACTGGAGGCTCGTAGCATCTCATCCAAAAGCAAGTTCTACAGAGTTGCCCAAGGACAACCACGTCGGCTGATCGATTTAGCTGTAAACGTGTTGGTGACCATTTTGACACAGACGGTGACATAAATGTATCAACATATATATCCGTAATACGTAAGGTTAAGTGATCAGACTAGATTTGTATTCCCCACGGCAACTGATTACAGCTACCCGGACAGGCCAAGCAAAGGTTATTGGGTGCATTGTGTATTACACCTATTGTAAGGTACAGTGAAGTAGGTGTCGATAGCCCTATATAAATGTTTGAGTTGCTATTGTGTTTATGATGGCAAATGTAACTATAAAACAGTGGCGGATTCATAAGAGAGAGATATAGCCACTGATACATGTTCACTGAGGAGTATCACTCCATGCCACAAGATCCGATGATTGACAGCGGTTCAAAGATAGATTACTCCCCTTTGGTTTACAAAACCTTTTTTTAACTTCCGTGTACTACACCGTCGCGGATGTCAAAATAGTGCGTGGTTTAATATTATGTGTTTCATAAAAAGAATATTTAATACTATTCAGATTATCTCAAGTGACTGAGTATATCTAACATTTATCAGCAACTAATGTAAACCATCACAATATTTTGCAATTTCTCTTCGCGTATGAATATATTGCACTCCATCTCGAGAACTACTTTCTTTGACAATATGGCGGGTTAGGATCACAAAAGCCAGCTTTAGTGACAGAAAAGTTGTTTTAACCGTTCATTCCAAGGATTTTGACGTCGATTGAATATCAGGCACATACAGAAACATCATATGGAGATTAAGGACTTCGGTTCTATGTGATTTGATTAGTATCATTCGCCATGTAAACTGTTTGCAGGGAACGAACCTGACATCACTTTTCGAGTCTGAGTGAGTCAGCATCCGAACCTGAGATAAGATACCACAGGAAATTTTGGCATCATGAAAATAAGAAACAAATTGAAGTTGTGGTAATCACGTGCCTGGAACTAACACAACGCACGTGTGTAAAATGTATTGATTTCAGGTAAGAAACAGGTAAATTGTGTCCACTTGTATTGAGCAGACATGTTTAGTTTTTGGGAGTTTCCCCTCCTGGTTTCGATCGGTGATAACAACACCTATCGATGGCAGATAAAGGTCACAGGCTATACTTGCACATATATCGATATCCATACAAATGCACTGTTGGTGGTTTGTCATCACAGTTTGACATTTGGAAACATGCTGCCGATCTATCTGTTATATTGTAGTAGATGTATTGATCTATCTCCAATTGGCCTTGTACATTACCTACTAATGTTTAAACTTTTTCGGATATTTTAGATTTTATATATAAAAAAGGAAGTGGCATGTGAAAGATTTTTTTAGTCACTTAAAACATCATTTAAACATATTAATGATCAATATTGTTGATGTAAACATCGAAAATTTAAGTTACTAAAAATATAACAATCATAATTTATAACACTTGTGTGTATTCAGTGATATTTGGTGCTCAAATAATTGAGTCCTGGACTCTTGCTTTCCCTGTGGGAGCCGGTCATATTTGGAAATGGGGGCTTGGACTCACAAGAAAAAAATATCTTATTAAAATGACAACCAATGCAATGGTTATATTAATTGGCATTTTATTTAGGATGTATTGTGTGATGTTTACCCAATTGGATTTGAAACAGTTACCTTAGTCTTTCATATATTGACCATATTTCTTTGAAATGTTGTTCACATCTTGGTAGGTTACCAATTTACCATACACAATAACACTACTGTATTATCTTCCATACACTTCTCTGCTACTTTCATTTTACTTGAAGAGTGATTCTGATACAGAACTGAGAATGTTATACAAAACCAATTATGCCGTTGTATAAGGATAAACACCTAAAATGTCTAATGATCTCCAAGATTGATGTCTAATGTTGGTAATCACTCAAAAAAAATTCCCTTGATCAATCACATCATCTCAATTTCTCAAACAACCTTTGATTTGTTTTCCATCAATTATTAATTGATCAGCTGTAAGTAACATATTTGCTTGCACTTTATCAGTATGGGTAAGACATGGTGGTTATTTCTTTCAGATTTTTGGTTCAATTATAAATCTCAGTAATGTAAACCAGGATTAATCATAAGATATCAAAAGTGATAAGGAATTAAAAAGGTCACATTCCGAGTGTAAACATCACACATACTTTGAAATAAATTAATGATTAATTTCACCAATGTATAGTTGCATTACACACTGTCCAGTACCAATGGCTGACTGACCTATATTGGTGCAAGTCCATACAATCCATATATACTATCTATATCAACATATTTATAAAAGCTTTTAAAAATGAAACCATACAAATTTTCTGTGATAAAGTTGGCAACAGAAATAGTATGAATTTTAATTGTTATTGTTTTTGGTTACCTAAATTTTCAAGATTATCATCAATAATTTATGTTTAAGAAAAAAAAACAAAAATTATACAATGTAGGCGTAAATAGTTCTGGTTGGCTGAGAGATTCTCTCTCAAAACAAACTTAGATTCATACCAGTTGTAAATTTAGACAAAGAATGATATTTGCTGTCCCATTGTCTAAACCAGATAGCATATATATAAAATACAGTATATACATACATGACGTGTATATGTGCTTGGTCACATACATTCAGCTTAGATGTTATGTAACACGCTAATGTTATAAAGCAAATGGAATAATGTTTGTCATTTCAGATTTGTCAATAGGTATGAAGGTCTTTTTGAATCAGATTGGAAATTCAACATGATCATTACTCATCTGAAAGTTCATCATGTTCATAACTCATATCGCTGGAATGAAATGTTAATTGAATGAATTATTTCATATTGGGAGATAATGTTTTTATTGGGTACAGTAGAGTTTATGTTTTAATGAGATCTGATTTGGTATAGTCATGGTTTACCAGATGATAGTAGAATGTTTCCAAACAGATATAAAACATAAAACAGATCATGTGCCTGAATTCACTCACTGTTTGGTATATTTGTGGAACAAGTTGTGTAGTTTATATATAAAAGAATAGAAAAAATAATATAAAATGTTATGATTTACCTACTGACTGTTCTATATGTCGAACACAAAATATAAAGAAACTCTAACATGGTATTGGACAGTTACAGTACAATTCCATTATAGCTCTTGTATATACACCAAATAACTATTTCATCAAACAATCATCTCTGGCTCCATATGTATATATCCTTTTTTGCCTTCTTCAATGTAATGAGTAATATATATGCTTTTAGCATATGCTGCACACTGTATCTGCTCATGAATATTAATAAATTATTCAGGTAAAGCAGTTCATACATGACCATACAGGTAAATATTGAAAGGAGAGGAAATGGAAATATTAAAATCATTATATTGTTATTCATTTAATTTTGAGAATATTTCTTTTGTCTGAATCTTCAGCTTTTTACAAAAATTCTTTAATTGGGGATATTTCTTTATTTAGATTTCTGACAAAAATGTCAACGTCTAATATCTGCATACCAAAGAAAAAAAAATAAAAGTAAATAAATGTCAGAATGCTGCTGTGATGGAACCCATTTGTAATCAGTATCATGTATTGAAAATTCAATTCTCACTTTCAACAATTGGAAATAAAAATTCTGTAATTTTCACCACTCCATTGTTTCGTTGGTGTCGTAGTTTGGTCCGAGATCGGTCTGTTCATTGGTTTGAATGTGGTATTATTTGTTGATATAGACCATTACCTTTCCATTACTACAACCACTTTGGTATCACATACATAGTACACAGATTACAGGAGGGTTACACCTACATATGTATACACACAAATAATGTACTCTACTCATGAATTATTGACCAATGTCCAAGAATAAGGATCTGGTACTGATGAGTGGTAGGCAGAAAGTGGTTTAGAATCTGTTTGCTGCTATAGCTACTTAATGTGAATATAGTGGTTTTGACCTATAATATTACATGGACATTATTGTGACATATGTAAACTGGTTGATGAATGTTCATGTACATAGATGAAAAAAATTGGTATATATTAAAACAAAAGTCTGCAGGAAGTGTACTTATACAGAGCTCTCGATCTGCCAGATTTGGGACCGAATTCCCAATGCAAAATAGTATCTTTTTTTTCCCAATTTAGACCCCAAGTTTTCCTAATTCTAAGGAAAACGTTGCTATTTTTCCCAATTCTAAGGGCCCCAGGCCCCAGTCCCAAAACAGGGTGTGAGAGTTCAAATCAGATTAGACTCATGGATTTGAAGTGACATGCTTATCTAGCACATTTGACCCTTCATACTTGTGGCTTTTCTTCTAAAATTGGCAAATGTCAAAGGTCAATTGAATGTCCAGATATTAGGATATGTAGTTGTGACACTAAGATAATGGTGTATATCATTGTAGATGATTTTGATTGCTGCTGAATTTTGATATTCAATGTTTTAGGGATCTGTTATCTTGAGCAGGACAAGGTGATGTTTTTAGAATCAAGGATCAGTTTCAGTTGTATCACATAAACAATTTAGGACCTGGACATATATCTCTTTTTCATTATAGGTAATTGTTGTTATCTGATGATACTATTATTGGTCAAACATTTACACAGCTGGCACTTTGGTATATACATAAGGATAAACAAAGAGCATACAAATGTTCACTTATGGATGTAGATTGTCTACATACAAAGGAAAATTGTCGTAGTTGAGAGCATGGAGTCATTTTCAGCAAGTTTTTGTCAATGTCAAAAATAGGAAAGGCCACCTTAGCTTAATGTGATTGCTAGAAAATGGGAAAAACAGAGGTATTAATTTCAGCTTTAAGGGGCCAGCATGTTGGCCCCGTCTTGGGTTTTCCTTGCACACTGTCTACTGGTATACTATCAATTAACAGAGGTACAGTGTATATTAGTAAAGTCAAGTATCAGTAAAACACCAAGGTATAATGATTACTGTATTTTCTGGATTATAAGCTGCACATTTTTATCCTTGTGTGCAGCTTATTAGCCCACCATCTATCTAATAGATGGTGGGTTATTCAAATCGCCCTGCGTCCGTGGTCCGTCCGTCCGTAAACAATTTTTGTTACCGCTATTTCTGGAAAAGTACTGGATGGATCTTTCTCAAATTTCATATGCAGGTTCCCCTTGGTCCCTAGTTGTGCATTGTACCTTTTTTGAACTGATTCGCATTCAAGATGGCCGACAGGTGGCCATCTTGGATATTGGAAGTAAAAGTTTGTTACCGCTATTTCTGGAAAAGTACTGGATGGATCTTTCTCAAATTTCATATGCAGTTTCCCCTTGGTCCCTAGTTGTGCATTGTACCTTTTTTGGACTGATTCGAATTCAAGATGGCCGACAGGTGGCCATCTTGGATTTTGGAAGTAAAAGTTTGTTACTGCTATTTCTTGGAAAGTACTGGATGGATCTTTCTCAAATTTCATATGCAGTTTCCCCTTGGTCCCTAGTTGTGCATTGTACCTTTTTTGAACTGATTCGCATTCAAGATGGCCGACAGGTGGCCATCTTGGATTTTGGAAGTAAAAGTTTGTTACCGCTATTTCTGGAAAAGTACTGGGTGGATCTTTCTCAAATTTCATATGCAGTTTCCCCTTGGTCCCTAGTTGTGCATTGTACCTTTTTTGGACTGATTCGAGTTCAAGATGGCCGACAGGTGGCCATCTTGGATTTTGGAAGTAAAAGTTTGTTACTGCTATTTCTTGGAAAGTACTGGATGGATCTTTCTCAAATTTCATATGCAGTTTCCCCTTGGTCCCTAGTTGTGCATTGTACCTTTTTTGGACTGATTTGAATTCAAGATGGCCGACAGGTGGCCATCTTGGATTTTGAATGTAAAAGTTTGTTACTGCTATATCTTGGAAAGTACTGGATGGATCTTTCTCAAATTTCATATGCAGGTTCCCTTTGGTTCCAAATTGTGCATTATACCTTTTTGGACTGATCCGAAATCAAGATGGCTGACAGGCAGCCATCTTGGATTTTGAGAGTAAAAT